AGGGAGTCAAAAAAAGGGAAAGGGCAGAGCGCCCTCTAGTGTTTGCCCAGCAGGAGAGCCCTGCTGTCCGAACACATGGACTCTCTCCCAAGAACTTTTACTTCCCATCCATGTTCTAAACATGCCATAAACGTGCTGGTTGTTTTATCCAGGCAGAAAACATGAATCGGGAGAACTAAACCAACCCTCCAAAGACATGTGGTTGATCTCATCAGGCGACGCTTTCAAGAAGAAAGGTAGGCTTCATAGAGATTGTCCCAAATCCAAAATAGCCTGAGACAATCCACCAAGGCAATCCACTTCCAGTGACAAATCTTCCCAAATCCACTTCGTTTCTAATGCGTAGACCACTGTGTCTAAAATTTAGCAACTTGGAACAGGGGTGGACTTCAATTCCCAGAAGCACTAGGAGTTGGATGGGGTCTCATTGCTTCCCCTTTGCCCATTCTGTCCCATTCCAAATCAAGATATACACACTCTTCTTCTTCTTCTTCTTCTTCTTCTTCTTCTTCTTCTTCTTCTTCTTCTTCTTCTTCTTCTTCTTCTTCTTCTTCTTCTTCCTTCTCCTCCTCCTCCTCCTCTTCTTCTTCTCCTCCTCTTCTTCCTCCTCCTCCTCCTACTCTTCTTCTTCTTCCTCCTCCTCCTCCTCTTCTTCTTCCTCCTCCTCCTCCTCCTCCTCCTCCTCTTCTTCTTCTTCTTCCTCCTCCTCCTCCTCCTCCTAGCGTACACAGGCAGTTGCTTCGCCCCAGCTCCTGTGAAGTTAAAATGTAATGAAGGCAAGTTTCAGTCTGCTTTTTCTGCTAATGTATTTATTTTATTTTATTTTATTTTATTTTATTTTATTTTATTTTATTTTATTTTATTTTATTTTATTATTTTATTTTATTTTATTTTATTTTATTATTTTATTTTAATTTTATTTTATTTTATTATACTTATATGCCGCCCTTCTCCCAAAGGACTCGGGGCGGCTCACAAAAATTAAAACGATGAAAAACAACAAAAATAACAACTAAAACAATCAAATTAAAATCTCCCCATTAAAAACCACCTATCAGATCAGCAAATTTGTTGAAAAAGCCATGTCTTCAGGTCACGGCGGAAAGAGCGGAGGTCGAGGGCTGTCTGGAGCCCCGTGGGTAACCCATTCCAGAGGGTCGGTGCATTTAATGTTTGTTTGTCTTTAAAAAATAAAAGAAAATTATATATATATATAAAAACAACCTTTCCCGGCGGAGAAGCTTGCTCCCAGTTCAATCCTAAATTCCAAATATTGACAACAAGGATTCAGCGACGTATTGCATTCATTGATAGGAAAAAAAAAAAAAATAGCGCACCTTGTCGGGTACGATATGAGTGACTGCGAAACTGTCACGCATTTTACAGTTGTAGCTGTTGGACTTGTGCTCTGCCGTTAACACTTTGCTGTATAATTAGCAGCCCAGCGGGGAGTCAAGGGAAGAGTTGTTCTTTGCAGCTGACAGCCCATTTGCAAAAGGAGGGTTGTGTATCCTGTTTAGGTGTCAAGTGAAAATTAATCTGGCAATTCCAATAAAATAACTTGGCACCGTTTTCCTCTGGCTGCTGCTGGCTGCTCAGCCAAGGCCGGTCAGCCATGAAAAATTCCTGGAAGTCGGTGCACGAAGCAGATACTCCTTGACTTACGACCAAAATTGGAGCCAGGATTTCTGTTGCTTTGCAAGGGGGCGTCCAAGGGAGAGTCACAATTGTCCTCCGAGTTCTGGATATCCTGGCATCCTGAAGTCCATAAGCCTTAAAAATGCCAAGGTTGGACACCTCTGTTTTTAAGCAAGTAGCATTGCAAGATCAGAAGGAAGACCCTACGATCATAGTTGAGAATACTAGGAGGAAAGAAGGACTAGGGGTGACACGATAGCAGTGTTCCAGTATCTGATGGGTTGCCACAAAGAAAAGGGAGACAAGCTATTCTCCAAAGCACCAGAAGACTAGACAAGAAGCAATGGATGAAAACTAATCAAGGAGAGAAGCAACATGGAATTAAGGATAAATTTCCTAAAAAGTGAGAACAATTAACATCTTGCCTCCAGAAGTTGTGAGTGCTTCATCACTGGAGGCTTTTAAGAAGAGATTGGATAACCATTTGTCTGAAATGGTATAGGGTTTTCTGCTTGAGTAGTGGTTGGACTAGAAGACCTCCAAGGTCCCTTCCAACTCTATTCTGATTGATTGGTGGATTGATTGATTGGTGCTGGTCTTCATATTTGCAGGTAGACTTCCCTTGGCCACTGTAAGAAAGGGAGAAAAGCAAGGGAAAAATGAATAGCAACAAAGATGATGATAGGACTGGAGGCTAAAACCTATGAAGAACGGTTGCAGGAACTGGGTATGTCTAGTTTAATGAAAGGAAGGACTAGGGGAGACATTATAGCAGTCTTCCAGTATCTCAGGGGTTGCCCCAAAGAAGAGGGAGTCAAGCTATTCTCCAAAGCACCTGAGGGCAGGACAAGAAGCAATGGATGGAAACTCATCAAGGAGAGAAGCAACTTAGAACTAAGGAGAAATTTCCTGACAGTGAGAACAATTCACCAGTGGAACAACTTGCCTCCAGAAGTTCTGAATGCTCCAACACTGGAAGCTTTTAAGAAGAGGTTGGATAACCATTTGTCTGAAGTGGTGTAGGATTTCCTGCCTAGAAGACCTCCAAGGTCCCTTCCAACTTCTATTCTGTTCTAAAAAGGTTGCCTTTTGAATCATTGGTCTGATCGGAGAAATTTCCAGCCAGCCTTATTTGCAACAGCTGTAAATTCCCTGTTCTACTGGTGATGGATAGGTAAGCTTCCACGCCTTGTCACTGATCTGTCACCTGTATATATGTGGACAAAACGGTTATGCAAGAAAAGCGATGAAAGAGCTCTGTTTTTGCAGCCACCGGATAAAATGCCTGGTTTGCTTCTTTGGGGACTCGCTTCTCTATCTTTGCCACTTCAGTGAAATTTACCGTAGCTTATAGTAAAAAAGATTGTGAGCTTTATTAAGAGTTTCTCCAGGGCAATTTTCCTTCCCAGGGTGTTATATATCTTTGATTTTTCAGGAGCTGCAAAGGCAGGAGAAGACGGGAGGGGAGTCCTGGAAGAGAAACCAACAGCTAATAAAAAGCACGGGGATATTTCTATTAACGTGCTTTTTCGCTTCATTTTTCTTTACCGCTTTCAAGAACAAACACAACAATTCAAGTCCCAAGTAGGGGGAAAAAAAAACATCACAAAAGGAGATAGGAAAAGCAGCACCAAAAAGCAAGGTTTTGCAAACAAACAAAAAAACTTTTGGAACGGTTGATCTTTGCAAATGTAAAACCTGCGACTGGACCACAGACAGTTCTACGTCTGGGGGGTGGGGGTGGGGAAATCCTTTTTATTGCAATGTGGATGTTTATAAGCCACCATTTATTTCATGAATGCTTTTTGTATACAGGTAGTTCTAGACCCGAGAGGGCAAACCTATGGCACGGACCCACCGGAAGTCAGGAAACGGGCTGTTTCCATGCCTCCGGAGGACCTCCGGGGGAGTGGGGAAGGCTGTTTTCACCCTCCCCAGGCTCCTAGAAAGGCTCTGGAGCCTGGGGAGGGCAAAAAAATGGGTCTACCGGGACCACCATGCCATCACGTGCCAAAAGGGGGGGGAGGGGGGGGGGGGGGGTGTCATAAAAGGTTAGCCATCACTGTTCTAGACTATGACCATAAAGGAGTTGAGAATTTCTGTTACTAAACGAGGTGATTGTTTGAATTGCACCTGATTTTATAACATTTGTTAAATGAATCAACTAGTTGTTAAATGAATTACACAGTCATTCGGGGGGGTGGACTAGAAGATCTCCAAAGTCCCTTCAAGCTCCATCCTGATTCTGATTCAAATGCAGTTTTTGGCTTTTGAGATAAAAAGGGACAAAGGGTTTTTGTTTGTTTTTTTTCCAACCTGCTGCCCTCCAGAGTTTCTGGACTACAATAACCATCACCCTGAGCTCCGGTTCTTGTTCAGTGCTGTAACCCGTTTTCCCCTAAGCAACTGGGATCTTGGCACGGATGATGGGAACCGAGGTCCAAAGGAGCAGAGGGTTTGCTCTTAGCAGGGCAGGTGTTTGTAATCTCTGAATATTTGAAATGAAGCATCATAATATTTTAAAGTGCCCGTGATTGGACAGTGCGCAAAGCTTGTGAATGCATCATGCAAATATATATGAGGAAATAACAAGAATTAAGACTCGGAGCCAAACCAAAGCCCGGGATGTTGCATCACAGCCATCTGCTCAAGACAATAGGTCACAGAACTCAGGATGTTACAACACTAAAGCTCAGGATGTTACAACACAGCCAACTACCCAGGATGTTGCAGCACAGGACTCAGGATGTCACAACACCAGAGCTCAGGTTGCTACCACACAACCCATTGCCCAGGTTGTTACAACACAAAAGACTAATGGGCACACAGCTAGGACCTCGGCCACACAGGATGTTATGAAACAGCCAACTAATCTGCAAACATCAAGTCCATCAATTAATCAAGATTTTGCTGATAAAGAAATAAAGGGAGACTATTTCAAGCTATTTGCAAGGGCCAGCGCTGCCTTTGCTGAATGAGATCCAAGGTTAGCAAAGGCATGATGGATGCAAGCGTTAAATCTGGCTCCTTTGGACCGAGAGAGCCATCAGATCAAATCTGTGTTACCAATGCAAGCTGGCAAAAAGGGCAAGAAAAAAAAAACATCATAAAAGCCGCACTACGTCACGCTCTCTCGCCCTTTATATACTCTCCTGTTTTATCCCTTTCCCCCCCCCCGCCGCCGCTTCCTAATGGTTCATTCCGAAAAAGGCGGAGCTTCCTTTTATCTCATCGGCTTACTGCACGATTCATAGTCGTTTTGGATTCTCCCCTACACTCCCCCACCCCCGTCTGTTGCGGAAAGTTGGTATGTTCCTCTCGAAGGCCGGCCGCTTTTACGCTTCCGTTGCCGCATTCTGGAAAGGCCGCTGCGCCCTTGAGAGGCGACCCTGCCGAGCCCGCTACGCCGCTTCCGTAGGGGAGCTCCGCTTATTCCCTACTGAAAGTTACGGCGGCGGAAGCGGGGCGGCGCGGCCGAGGGACGCAAACGGCGTAGCGGGCGCCCGTGGTGGAACGTGTCGGTAGCAGCGGCGGCGGCGGCGGCAGGACGGAGCCCCCCACCCGGCCGAAGGCGGCCCAGGACGGTAACGCTCCCTGCGGCTCTCCTGCTGCCCGGCCTCCCCGGGTCTCTCGGCGGAGGGCGGCAGAAATCCGGGGTGCCTGCTTGGCAGTGGGGTGAAGGGTGGGGGAAGGGAGGCAGGATCCTCTTGTTGAGTAGTACTCCAAAACCCATCATCCCCATCCCCCTTCCTTCTCCTGGCCTTTCCCAGGTAGGCATGGGCAGGGTTCCCAGCCGCTGAGCATCGTTCAGGGCCCTCCAGATAGATGGGACTCCAACGCCCATCATCCCCAGCTAGCATGCTCCTTTCCCTTTCTCCCAGCATCTCAACCTCTTCCTTCCGGGGCTTATGCAACTGCAGCTCCCATCATCCCCAGCCAGCATGCTCCTTTCCCTTTCTCCCTCAGCATCTCAACCTCTTCCTTCCCGGCTTATGCAACTGCAGCTCCCATCATCCCAGCCAGCATGCTCCTTTCCCTTTCTCCCAGCATCTCAACCTCTTCCTTCCGGGCTTATGCAACTGCAGCTCCCATCATCCCCAGCCAGCATGCTCCTTTCCCTTTCTACTAGCATCTCAACCTTTCCTTTCTTCCTATCGACTTCCGGGCTTATGCAACTGCAGCTCCCATCATCCCCAGCCAGCATGCTCCTTTCCCTTTCTACTAGCATCTCAACCTTTCCTTTCTTCCATCGACTTCCGGGCTTATGCAACTGCAGCTCCCATCATCCCCAGCCATGACAGCCTCTTTCCCTGGACCCTCATCCAGCCTGGAGATGGGCTCTTCTGCCTTTCCCATCATTCCCAACCGGCGAGACCTCCAGACGTAGCACGATCCAGACGCTTCACGACTAAAAAACCCATCATCCACATACCTCTCACACACTCACACAGCGCCCTCAAAGTGAATAATGCTCATTCACAAAGCCGCACTGTGTTTTTCTATGTAAGGCAGCATCACCAAAGCTAAATACAGGTAGTCCTTGACTTACAACAGCTCATTCAGCGACCGTTCAGAGTTAACTATGACACTGGGAAAAAAAAGGGATTTAGGACTGGTTTTTTCATAGTTAAAGACCTTGGAAGCCTCTCCAGGAGGATCATGTGATCAAAATCCAGAGGCTTTGGCAACTGGTTCATACTTATGACCTTTGCTGTGTCCCAAGGTCATTGGATCATCTTTGGTGACCTTGACCAGCCAAGTCAAAGAAGAAAACCAGATTCACTTAACAACGGGGTTACTAATGTATCAGCAGCAGTGATTCACTTAACAACTGTTGTTGTTAGTTGTGAAGTCATGTCTGACCCATTGCAACCTCATGGACAATGTTTCTCCAGGCTTTCCTGTCCTCCACCAGCCTCTGGAGTCCATTTAAGCTCACGCCGACTTCTTCAGTGACTCCATCCAGCCACCTCGATCTCTGCCGTCCCCTTCTTCTTTTGCCCTCCGTCGTTCCCAGCATTAGGCTCTTCTCCAGTGAGTCCTTCCTTCTCATTAGGCGACCAAAGTATTTGAGTTTCACCTTCAGGATCTGGCCTTCTAAAGAGCAGTCAAGGGTTGATCTCCTCTAGGACTGACCGGTTGGATCGCCTTGCAGTCCAAGGGACTTGCAGGAGTCTTCTCCAGCACAAGAATTCAAAGGCCTCCATTCTTTGGCGCTCAGCCTTCCTTATAGAATAGAATAGAAAAACAGAGTTGGAAGGGACCTTGGAGGTCTTCTAGTCCAACCCCCTGCTTAGGCAGGAAACCCTACACCACTTCAGATAAATGGTTATCCAACATCTTCTTAAAAATTTCCAGTGTTGGGGCATTCGCAACTTCTGTAGGCAAGTTGTTCCACTGATGAATTGTTCTAACTGTCAGGAAATTTCTCCTTAGTTCTAAGTTGCTTCTCTCCTTGATTAGTTTCCACCCATTGCTTCTTGTCCTGCCTTCTGGTGCTTTGGAGAATAGCTTGACCCCCTCTTCTTTGGGGAAACCACTGAGATATTGGAACACTGCTATCATGTCTCCCCTAGTCCAACTTTCAACTATGGTCCAACTTTCACAGCCATACATTGCAACTGTGACAGGGACCAAAACTCACTTAACAAATGTCTCACTTAACAACAGAAATATTGGGCTCCCTTGTGGGTCGTAAGTCGTGGGCTACCTGTACAATAAAAATAATTTTTTAAAAAACAACCACCACCAGGTACTCTTAAATGTCATACAGGCCATTGACAAAGCTGGTAGGCATCGTTCTTTGAATTTTTTCTTCTGCTTTTTACATCCTCACCCCCCACCAGCCCATTCCTCCAAGTCATTCTCCCCTTGTTACAGATTGTTTTCAAGTTGCCAAAGCACCAAACAGAGCCACAACTGGGAATCGAAACATCTGGAATTCTCCCCCAAGAAGGGGGGCAAATGACAAATGATAAAGTGGGCTTGTGGGCAGCTTCGTCTGTACAAACTCCGCTTATCGGTTGAATTCTATTCTTTCTCTTCAGAGAGTGGGATCTGTTCCCAGATGGATGGTAATCCCTGAAGCCCCTTCGACCGCCTTTCCAAGTAGAATCCGAGACTTCGCCATGTGGCACAAGGCCCTGTGTGTGGCTGTGCTAGCCTTGGCCACCGGCTACGTCTTCTGGCTGGACCCCGCTTGGCCGGATTTCCTGTGGGAGCATCTCTCGGCACCCTTCCTGTACCGACTTCGGGGGGACCTGGGGTCCCCAGAAGGCAGAATGGCAGAGGCCTGGGATGCCCTCATCACCCGGCCAGCCAAGCAATGGAACAGAGTGGCTGTGGGGTAAGGATTGATTGATCGACCGATTCGTTTGGGTGATGTAGAGTTGAAGGATGCCCACATTTAACGGTGCTTGAGGTTTTGCGTTTTTTAAAAAAATATCAGCACGAGAGATGGTTGCCTAAATCAGGGGGTCAGCAACCTGCGGCTCCAGAGCCGCATGTGGCTCTTTGGGCCCTTTGCTGTGGCTCCCTGTCGGGTGAGCCTACCACTGGCTGGCCCCACCTGTCGCCCTCCCCTCCCAGTCACTCCTCGCCTCGCCTGAGAAGGTAAGGGCAATGGCGGTGGATAGAGAAGTGGCCAGGGCAGAGACAGAGAGGGAGGGGGAGAGAGAGAGATGTCAAAAGTATTTTGTGGTTCCCGGTGTTTTTTAACAACTGGCTCTCTGCCCTAATGACTGGCTGGGTAGGCGTGGCCAAGGGGGGGTGTCATGTGACTGGTGGAAGTGAGTGACATCGAGTTGGCTATGTTAGGAAATGATAATTACCTAACTTGTTGGGTTGGCAATATATGAACCCTGAATATAGCTTTCAGACTGTATTGCTGTATTGCATCATACTGTGTCCTGATTGGTTAGCTCTGTAGCCAATGTCCTTAAGAGGGAGCTTGAAACATGGTTTGTTTCTCTTTGCTGATCATTATTGCTCTGTGCTGATCTTTACTGCTCTTTGCTATGTTTGCTACTGTTTGGAACTGTTTATTGTGTATGACTACAACAACTGGTAAGAAGACTTTGTTATTGGAATATCCCTGGACTATCTACTGCTATCACCTGCCTCCATCACTACCAGATCGGGCGATCCGGTTCGAACCGGGCGCATTTCACCCCTGATTGTAAGGCAGAAGGCCCCATGTGAATGAGAGGGTTTTGTGTGGAGCCCTGAGCTGAGATGGCCCCTCTTTCTCCCTTCCCTTCAGGGTGAATGCCTGCGTGGACGTGGTGCTGTCCGGGGTGAAGCTGCTGCAGGCCCTCGGCTTCCGCGGTGAGGCTGGGAAAGACCATCCGGTCTTGCGTTCCGCTGCCGAACTGGAAGAAGCCTTCCTCCATTTTATGGGGAAGGGGGCTGCTGCGGAACGGTTTTTCAACGACGCGGATGCCTTCCACCGCATCGCGCAAACGGCGTCGAGTTACCCTGGCGCACAGGTGAGCTCTTCGCTTGGGAAAGGAGATCTTCGTGGGCCCAGTTGGTATCTTTCTAGAGGCGTGCAAGATTTGAACCCGAACCAAAGATGTTAAGGATCCAAAGCATTCCTGCCCTTTCCAGATCCGAGTGCTGCATTTCACTTGTTCTGACCTAGGTTTCCCAAGAACATGAAGCAGACTCCTTGTCCCGACAAAAAACCCTTTTTATTAAGTTACTGTGAATTCTTCTCATTCACATCCAGCCAAGTCTTTCAAGGGGGAATTTACAGTCACAGACCTTATCTGGCTTGGAGAGCTGCCAGGCCGATATCTTCAAAACTTCATCGTCCACCTGTGGCTTTACTCCCAAGTCGACCCTTGTTCTTTAGCTGTTCCCTTGGTCTGGCAATTCTGTGCATGCACACACTGGGAACAGGATCCAGCTGTTTGTCTGCCTCACTGATGTCCGACTCCGAAGGCAGCTGATAACTGGTATCCGGCCCTGGCCCCCTCTCTGCCTCCGACGCAGAGCCCTCATCAGAGCCTTCCCCAGACTCCAGGACTGGCCCATCTTCCTCCCCAACCTCTCACTGTCCGAATCTGCTGCCAGGCCACAATCCGCTGGTGGGCCACAATATTTCTACCCATTTTTGTATTACCGACAATCATGTCCAAAATAACAAAAGTCTTGGTCCCTGGTTAGACTATTGCAGTGTTGGCCATTTTAAGATGTGTGGCCTTCAACTCCCAAGAGTTCTGGCTAGGGAATTCTGGGAGTTGAAATACACCTATCTTCAAACAACCGAGTTTTAAAAAGACTGTTTGCCAACTAACTACGATCTGATAATGCGTGACCTTATAAAGCATAAACTACCGAAGCTAATCATGCATGCTCCATATTTCATTTGGTGGTGGTTTTAAATGACGAGACTCCAGTTTTCTTAAAAAAAAAAAAGAAAGAAAAACCCAGTTTGTATAGTGTACTATATTTTTAAATTAGTTTTTAAAAAGCATTTTTGGCCTCGGCCATTACCTGATCTTGGGTCTGCTTATCCACCTGAATCTCCTGGGAATTCCAGAGTTAAACTGGGAAAGTTGAAGAAAGATTCCCAACGATTGATTGATTCATTATGTGCCATCACAATCATTGCTGACTCTTAGCAACCACATCGATTTTCTCCGTGGGGGATCCGTCCCTAACCTGGTCCTTCAGGTGTTCCATCCAACAGGTGTTCCCGTTACTATGGTAACTGAGTCCATCACCCTTATTGCTACTTATCCTCTTCTCTTTCCTTCTGTCTTTTCCAGCAGTGTAGACTTTTCAAGAGAGCCAGATCTTATTGTTGATTAATTACAGTGTTTTCCCAAAAATAAGATCTCCTTGGATAATAAACCCAATCGGGCTTTTGAGCGCATGCATTAAAATAATCCTTCCCCAAAAATATTTAACCGCATATGCAGCCGGTCCCCGCCATTTCCTCTGGTTACGGTTAGGGAGACAGAGCTGGAAATCAGGTAAGACGGCAAGAGGAGCCCCATCTTGCTCCAAACACCCCAAAATAATAAGACCTCCCTGAAAAGAAGGCCAAGCGCTTATTTTGGGGTTCGAAAAAATATAAGACAGGGTCTTATTTTCAGGGAAACATGGGTATGTACCATCAAATTAGTGTCAACTATATTTTCTCCAAGACAATTTAACCGGGTCCTTCAGCTCTTCCAGTGTACTGAGTTTGCTGCTGGTTATTTTTATTTTTTCCCCCTTCTCTTTTCTTCTACCTTCCCCATCCATGAAAGCTTTTTTTCCAAAGAGCGGGATCTTTGCACAATGTGCCGAAGGAGATCATTTGAGCCAAAGAAAGCCATTGGCAAATCACTTCCGATGTAACGCTCCCAAGGAAACAGCTTGGATGTGGTCAGCGGGAGTCGATTCCTGCGTTTTTCCCTTTTAATTTGCTTTTAATAAAGGCATTTGGGGATATATATATATATATATATCTGCAACCCTGCATGGGGATGAAATTGCTATCAGCAAATCAGCCTTTGTAATTAAATCTCCCTTTAGCCGTGGTCAGCTGGTTTGAAGGATGAAAATGTGAAACTCTGCCTAGTGCTACAGATAAAACGCTAGTTTTCCAAGGCTACCTTAATCCAGTGTTGCCTCAATAATTTCAGGCTGATAGTTGAACCTTCTAAAATTTACAGCTATGTAAATTTCTGCAAAGTCATGCTTAGTTGTTGGCCGCCAGCTGCACCAGAAGCTCTAGATCCACTTGTGAGTTGACAGTTTATTTTGTCATTGCTCAATCTCACTTTTAATTTGGGTTAGGCTTTTAAAAATTCTTGTGTTTTATCACATTTTATCACATTTACGAGACCTTTGAGAGGCTGGAAGGCTTTCTGCACGAGCTGAACTCTCTGTGTGTGAATTTTTTCCGCTTCTGTACAAACAAGCGTACAGTCACCTCATTTGTACTTATTTTGGGAGATTTAGTAGCAGACTGGAATTAGCTGATATCTGATGCTGATCCAGAATGTGTTTCTGGAAGCAGGAAAGACTGCGGGTTCTCTCTGGGCGGTGGAGTGTTGCTTATGAAGATTAGTTGTCTTTTTTTTTTTGAGTTTGCATTCTGTTCTTCATCAAAAGAATATGCCCAGCAGATGAGAGAGCTAAAATAGAACTGAAAGCAGCGAAGAACTGAAAATGGCTGCAAAGAGTCAGCAAATATGTCAAGGAACAGAAATCTTGGATAAAGAGATATATCCAGGAACTGAGAATTCATAATCAAAGAGAGCTTTGCAAACAATCCTACCTGTTCTCACCATCCTCCTCCCCCCCCCTTCAATTTTATGTACCGTACTTGTAAAATTGCCTGTGCAGAAATCTGCAGCACTGGAGAATGGCATTGGCTGGAGAAACCTTATACTTGAATGTAATTGGTTGGTTTTTAAAATGGCACCTATCTCCCTATATGGCGGTATTGGCCAAAGACTTAACGATGCCCCCTCTCTGGAAAGTGGGGTTCGGTAACTTCTTACTCTCTTGCAGTTGTATGTTGGAGGAAATGCTGCTCTCATTGGCCAGAAAATCGCATCACATCCAGACTTAAAGGTAAACTTTGTTCTTTTACCTGTAAGTGTAAATTGTATTGTCCCACTGTCAATGGTGGGATTCAGCCGGTTCGGGCTGGTTCGAGCGGACCGGTAGTTAAATTGCTGGCTGGCCCCACCCCTCCCTGCCCCTTCCAGGAGTCCCCACACGCCCCATTTTGGCTCCCAGATAAGTGCAGGGAGGCCTACTAGGCCCAAAATAGGGTGTGTGGGGGTGCTGTGTGGCCCATCCGTGGCCCGTTTTTGCTCCCAGAGGGGTGCAGGAGGCCAAGTGCTGCCTGTCACACCTCCTGGCCACGCCCACCCAGCCGATCATTAGGGCAGAGAACTGGTGGTTAAATTATTTGAATCCCACCACTGAATAATGTAGTTTATGATAATACAGACAAATGACACACGTCTGCTCGCCAAATTTAGATCTTCAGCAATAGAACCCCAAAAGAAGAAATGTGGCTCTGCAGACAGGCGTGAGGGTCTTTGATAGTCCTGTTTTTAATTTATCAATTAGAAATGTTTTTGCCAGCATACCCTTCGCCTCTAAATGACCAGGATCAAAATTGGAAAAAAATCTGTTATTAATGTGGTTAATTTGCGAGACGTTATTATCGGTCTGTCTTCTTGTAGGTTCTGCTTTGTGGCCCAATTGGGCCCAAGCTTCACGAATTGCTTGACGAGAACGTAATGGTCCCTCCAGAATCACTGCAAGAATTAGACGAATATCATCTTATTTTGGAATACCAAGCAGGTATGTGCCACTTGAAGATCCAAAAAAGGTCATTGGTGGAGTAGCGTAAAGGACTGTCTTCGTTAATATATTGTAATCACTAAGGACCTCGGCCATTTGAAGACGTGTGGACTTCAGCACCCAGAATTCCTCAGCCAGCAAAGCTTCAAGTCCACCTGTTTTCAAGTCACCAAGGATGAGAAACACAGCACTGATGTGGCCAATGAAACCCCACCCCCACCCCCCAGTTGTCACCTGAACACCACAAATCCACCACTTAACCATGATATCTGAGATTCAGATTTGATCATCACAGAACTCTCTGATTGATTATAGCAAAAGCAATAGTACTTAGACTTATATACCACTTTACAGTGCTTTTACAGCCCCTCTCTAAGCGGTTTACAGAGTCAGCATATTTGCCTCCAACAATCTGGGTCCTCGTTTTACCAATCTCGGAAGGATGGAAGGCTGAGTCAACCATGAGCTGGTCAGGATCGAACTGCTGGCTGTGGGTAGAGTTTGCCTGCAATGCTGCATTCTAAGCACACGGAGGGAAGGAAGGAAGGAAGAAAGATAGCAATAGCACTTAGACTTATATACCACTTTACAGCGCTCTCTAAGCGGTTTACAGAGTCAGCCTCTGGCCCCCAGCAATCTGGGTCCTCATTTTACCCACCTCGGAAGGATGGAAGGCTGAGTCAACCTTGAGCCTGGTGAGATTCGAACTGCCAAATTGCAGTCAGCCGGCAGTCAGCAGAAGTAGCCTACAGTACTGCACTCTAACCACTGCCCCATTGCAGTGTTTAGAATGCAGTGGTTAGAATGCGGTGGCAAAAATTATATTGAATTTCTAACAGGGAAATGCCCAAATACAAAAATAGTAAAAAAATTTAAAACAAAAAACCCCCACATTTGTCAATATTGAAGAAATTTTTAAGATGCACTGTGTCCTGTTGCCCATCTGGGAACAATGGGGCAGGAAAGCATCTCCGTCACTGGCAAATTGATGGCAATCTGTAATGGATTTTCCCTTTCGAACTCGAGTTCAGTGTGATCAAACTGGGGAATGAGAGGCAAGCAGTGAGCCTGCTCGGTGGAACTTTGCCAAAGGTAAAAGGTTTGGCCACGAAACTTAATTCATGAGATGTGCTCTTAAACCGGACTTCGATCTTCTGCCTTCAGCAATATTTTGAGTCCATCCGGGCCTGAAATTTCCAGTAATGTAAATAGGCAGAGCTCTGCTTTAAAAAGAGAAAGTACCTGACCACGTGGTTGAGATTTACAGTATTTTTCCTCAAAACTGATGTTTACAACTGTTGTTCTCTTTAACAAGTGTGGCGTTTGCTTAATGGCTGCAGTGCTTGATTTATGATCGCTGCCAGAAAGATCGTATATATTGGCTCGGTCACATGACCGTCATAACTTACAGCCAAAATGTAAAGGCTTCCGTTATGGTTGTAACTCAAGGACTACATGTAAGTTACTTGACTAGCGGGAGTCCCAAAACTACGAGTGGCCTAACGGCACGCTGTCTACAGAGAGAGTTTATTCCTTTCCAGAATCAATCAGAATAAAGCTGGAAGGGACCTTGCGAGGTCTTCTAGTCCAACCCCATGCTCAAGCAAGGAGACCCTATACCCGTGATGGTGAACCTATGGCACGCGTACCACAGGTGGCACACAGCGCCATATTGGTGGGCATGTGAGCATTGCTCTAGCTCAGCTCCGGCACGCATGCGTGCACCAGACAGCTGATCTTTGGGCCCACCGGAAGTGGGCAAACAGGCCATTTCCGGCCTCCGGAGGGCCTCCAGGGGGTGGGAAAGGCCGTTTTCGCCCTCCCCAGGATCCAAGAAAGCCTCTGGAGTCTGGGGAGGGTGAAAAACGGGTCTACCGGGCCCACAGTGCCATCACGTGCCAAAAGCATAGCGAGTGTGTGTGTGTGTCGTGCACGCATGCAGGGGGGGCATGGCGCATTATGGGTGTGGGCACGCACTCCTCCCATTTTTGGTACACAACTGCAAAAAGGTTAGTCATCACTGCCCTATACCATTTGAGACAAGTGGCTGTCCAGTCTCTTCTTAAAAACCTCCAGTGATGAAGCACCCACAATTTCCGGTGGCAAGCTGTTCCACGGGTTAATTGTCCTCCCTGTTAGAAAGTTTCTCTTTAATTCCAGGTTGCTTCTCTCCTCGATTAGTTTCCATCCGTTGCTTCTTGTCTTGCTTTCTGGCGCTTTGGAAAATAAATTAACCTCCTCTTCTTCGTGGGAGCCTGTCAAATACTGGATTAGTGCTATATCGTGTCTCCCTTTCTTTTCTCTATTAAGAGCTGTCACGAATGCAAGGTGTGCCTGCAAAGATTCCGTGTAATGCTGGGCTTTTGTGTGTTGGGGGGGATTGTGCTCATCAGGTGAAGAATGGGGAGAGCTGAGAGCTCCCAACGCCAACCGATTCATCTTCTCCCATGACCTGTCCAACGGGGCCATGAACATGCTAGAAGTATTTGTGTCCAGCCTGGAGGAATTTCAACCAGACCTGGTGGTGCTTTCAGGGTTCCATATGATGGAAGGACAGACCAAAGAGCTACGCCAGAGTAGGCTCCGAAAGGTAAGATCCAAAACGCTTTGCCTTCTCTTTTAAAAACTTCCCTACAACTTTTTTGTTACTTAAAAAGACTATAAGGTAAAGGTTCCCCTCGCACATATGTGCTAGTCGTTCCCGACTCTAGGGGGCGGTGCTCATCTCCGTTTCAAAGCCGAAGAACCAGCACTGACCGAAGACGTCTCTGTGGTCATGTGGCCGGCATGACTCAATGCCAAAGGCGCACAGAACGCTGTTCCCTTCCCACCAAAGGTGGTCCCTATTTTTCTACTTGCATTGTTTTAATGTGCTTTCGAACTGCTAAGTTGGCAGAAGCTGGGACAAGTCACGGGAGCTCACCCCATTACGCGGCACTAGGGATTTGAACCGCTGAACTGCCGACCTTTCGATCGACAAGCTTGGTGTCTTAGCCACCGAGCCACAGTGTCCCTTATAAAAAGAAATTAAAAAAGACTATAGATAGAGCTTTATTGTCAGGATGCTGGGAATGAAATACGCTGCAGTCCAAAAACTGGCAAATTATGGCTTGCAGGCAAAATGTGGCCCATCCGGTTTTTTTACGGTCTATGAGTTAAGAATATTTGGACAGAGAGGAGATGGTGAAGCCTGAGCCTCAAGCAAGGTCCTAGGATGAGGGGAGAGCCAGGATGGGGTGTCCTGGGCATTGGCCTATCAGCAGCCTCCTTGCTGGTGCATCAATGCTGTGCAATGGGTGCCATTCCCCTTGGCCCACAGATCTGTCAATCATGACCGCAAAGATGGAGGAAGGACAGGATCTGGTCCTTTATGGATAGAATCTAATCCATTATCCTCCAGTTTGGAGCATCTCCTGACTGCCATGCTGGTGATGATGGGAGTGGGCATCCAGCACGATGGTCTAGGACAAGGGTCGACAATCTTAAACACTCAAAAGAGCCACAAAGGTCCTAACCGGAAGCCCCCCATTCAATTCTGGAGCCAACCGGAAGTCCAGTTCCCCCACCATAGAGTCACCTCCTAGCGCACCATAGAATCACCTCCTAGCACCTTCCTCTACCTGTCCTAACCGAAAGCCCGATCAATTGTGGAGCCGATTGGCGACAGGGAGCCGCAGCAGAGGGATGAAAGAGCCACATGCGGCTCCAGAGCTGCTGGTTGCCAACTCCTGGTCTAGGAAGATGAATCGAATACTTTCTTTTGCTCTGTAAGGGGATATGCTTGGAGGTTCACCAACCACTCATTGACGCAACAGCCATTCAATCAGAAAGAAGTTGACTCCATGTGATGGTTCCTCCCTCTGCTATCCTCCCATATGCTTCTCCTAATCTGAATTTTTTAGGTGTGCATCTGTGTGTGTGTTTCTGCAGGCCGTAACTTCCATTTCTGACATTCCCACCGACGTCCCGATCCATCTGGAATTAGCCGGTATGACCGACCCAGACCTCATGAGAGACATAATTCACCAGGTAAATCACAATGGTGGAGCCTCTTCTCACCTTCAGAAGAGATGGAAGTTGTGAGATGAATTTAAAGTATCTGGGATGCGGTAGGCAGAGTTAAATTGTTTCATGTGGAAGGAAAGAACTTGCTTGGAGATTACAGCCTGCCTATTTTACATATTATGAGTCGGGAAGCAGCATGGTCACAGGTCGGGATCCAGGTGTACAGTACCAAAAGGCAGGTCACCATGGATCCCACAGGCCCAAAGTCAATTATTTCAGATGGCAAGGAACGCCAGCTGTCTTTTGGCATGCTTGATCCAAAGCTATGTTTTTAATTTCCAGTATATTTTATGCCTTAATCCAGGGGTGTCCAACCTTGGCCACTTTTAAGACTTTTGTGGACTTCAGCTCCCAGAATTCCCCGGCCGGCCATGCATGAATTCTGGAAGCTGAAGTCCCAAGGTTGGACACCCCTGCTTTAATCTTTAGAAGCTGGACTTCTCCGACTGCCAACCTATCACTTGGTCTGTCTGTTAGCAGATCTTCCTTCTCGTGAGCTCCATCGGGTTGAACGAACAAGAGCTGCTGTTCCTCACCCAGGCAACCTCGGGACCTCACTCCTCCTTAACTTCCTGGAACGGCATCCCGGACGTGGCTATGGTCAGCGACATCCTCTTCTGGATCTTGAAAGAACACGGGAGGACTTCAGCCAAGGCTTCGGATCTCACCCGGATCCACTTCCATACTTTGGCCTACCACCTCCTGGTTACCGTGGACGGCTATTGGGGCAACCAGGTGGCTGCCGTGGCTGCCGGAGCGAGGGTGGCAGGGACCCAAGCTTGTGCCACCCAGACCATTGACGCCAATAAAGTGTTCCTGAAGGCACCGCTGGAGTTTGCGACTTCCAAGACGGACGGGGCCTCCAGAGTCTCCTTAAACCCAAAGGAGCCCATATCGGTGTGGCACCGGAATGGCATCTCTTTCCATTACACCCCCGTGCTGGTGTGTAAAAGCCCCCTGCGGACTGTGGGCCTCGGGGACGCCATATCTGCTGAAGGACTCCTGTATTCGGAAATCCATCCTCACTAACCACCGAATAAAGAGATCACTCCAAAATATCGGACCAAGCAGGTACAGGCTGAGAAGTCAGATTGGATCAGGAACCAAAGAGGGTGGGTGTGGGTGTGGGTGGGTGGACGGACAATAAATGCTATCCAGAATTTGGGATTTATTGCCATAGGAATGTTTGTAACGCAACCGTCAGGGAGGAAGGTTCATCCGAAGGGAGTCCTTTTTGGCCGGAGCACAATAGCAAAGTGGTCTATTATTGTTATTTTTTTGATTAAGCCCATTTAATTTGCTATAATTTCTAAAGGGAGGTTGTTTGTGGTGCCTGATTATTCCAGGTGGGATATAGGAATGCTTTTCAGAATCATATCAGCCAGGCAGAAGTAAAAACAAGCTTCTATACTTATTTGGAAGATCAATGTATTTCCCCTTTCACTTTCCTACTTCCAAAAGGGGCACCAGCCCATTAAGAGGCGAGGAAAGGGTTTTCCTCTTAGGCTCATAAAAGTGACTGAGGTTTGCTGTCAAAATATCAAAAGCATTTCCTTCTAATTCCTTCTTTCTTTTGTGGTTGCTACTTTCAAAGGTCTTGTCTTCTTGGCAAGGCGATTCTCAAATGCGATGCAGTTTTATCTCCTCTAAACAGTGAAGGCTGGGGGCAAGGACGAGAAAGGAGAGCCTACCGTATATTTCTGCTGACTTCTAAGCGTCGTACAAGAACACGTTGCAGTAACGTCTGTGCAAAATGCCAAGCGTTCTGACCTAGGCTTCCTTAGAAAGTATAAAAGCACAGTCTTAGTCCCGCAATACCTCTTTTATTTATACAACTGTAAATTACTTTCGTTTACAGTCTGCAAAGCTTGAGAAACAGTCATTTCGGAGGAAGGTTATCAACAGCCACCTATCTCACGTGGAACGCTGCCAGAGAGCTAATTTCCAGACGCAGGGCAAGGCCAAACTTGGCACAGAGTCACAAACAGAATTTTCAAATCTTGAATCGGTCGGATGAACTAATTGCTTCCTGCAAAAGCTCGCTTCGTTTTTATGTCTTATGGGAGGGGCCAATCATCTCCAAGCCTTACTCCCAAGTCGACCCTGTTTTCTTAATTGTTCTTGTCGTCTGGCAGCTTTGTGCATGTGCACACTGGGAACAGGCTCCCGCTGTTCTTTTGCCTTGCTGTTGTCAGACTCTGGAGGCTGCACAAAACTCAGACGGCCTTGGCCCCCTCTCTGCCTCCGATGCAGAGCTCTCGTCCCCAGCCCCCAGGACTGGCCCAAGTTCCTCCCCAAACTCCTCATTGTCTGACTCTGCTGCCAGCTCTGCTGGCCGCCGGCAGTCCACAATACCGAGGTAGCTCTTGCTTAAGCCTTAAAATGGCTCCTAATAAGCGACCACAAATAAGGTGGTTTTTTTTTTTATAAACTGAAGTTTGATTAAAAAAACTGAGCTTCTAGCATTTCTGGCTTGTTATATTAGCATAAAGTCTTAGGCTCTCAGGAACGTAGACTTTAATCATTCGTTCCATCATTTTCTTTGCAGGACAGCATAACGACAGTCCCTGATATGAGAGGGTCAGTCATATGAGTTATTAACATAAATAAAATCCAGAATCTGCCAGTTGCTGGGCAAAAGCCAGCCCAGGTGCGAGGCTTGGTTGCAAAAATTCAGATTTAAATCTGTGCTCAGTAATTCCCACTCCGCTATGTTAAGACTTCAGTGGTTGCCATTTATATCGTGGTTGTGAGAGGAAGGAGTGGGTTTTAAGTCCCAGAGAGGAAGGGCGAGATAAAACATATAAATAACAACGGAACTGAAATCTTCAGATTGGCCTATGATTGTGAGAGAATGGGATTAATGCCGGTAGACCTTAATAATGTACAGAGGGAGCTCTAGGCTTACAACCACGATTGAGTCTGGAATTGTGGCCGTAAGTTTTGGTTAAACAGATTACCATGTGGCTGCGCCCGATTTTGCGAACTTTTTGTGGCTGTTAAGCAAATCCGTTTTATCCAAAGGCGGGGGCGGGGCGGGTTTGCCAGAAAGCAAATGTCCGAAATGGTCAAAAGCCACCAAAAAATTATGGTTTTAAGTATCCCCAGAATGCAACAATCAGCCATAAATGTGAGCTAGTTGACAAGTGACCAAAATATAGTCACATTCCTGGGGAGGGTATCAGAACTGTAAATCGAGTCGTAAGTACCTTTTGTGGGGTCCGTCATAACTTCCAAGTGGTTGCTGAGTGACCTTCATTAAGCAACGTATTGTGTTCCGTTGACTTTCCCTTTTTTTTTAAAAAAAAAATTAAAATGTCATTGTAAACTTATTCAGACTCAAGGTTCAATTAGAAAAATAGCACCACCTGAAAATTTTTTCTCAAGACAGTACGTTTTATTTATTCGTTTTCAAAGCGGGGGTACATCAAGGGGTAGGCTTCAAAAATTTTAGAACGGGGTTCTCTGCGCAGTTGCTGGGTGGGCGTGGCCATGGTGGGCGTGGCTTAGTCTGCCTCCCACACCATGGCCGGGGGTGGGTGGGTGCGTTTTTGCCCTCCACGGGCTACGGAGGCTTTCCTTGAGCCTCTGGGAGGGCAAAAACAGCTTCCCCAGGCTCCGGAGGGCCTCTGGAGGCCAGAAACGGGCCCGGACTTCCGGTAGGCCCATTTTTCGCCCTCCCTGAGCCTCCGCGCACGCCCTGCACTTACTTGCATCCAAAACGGGCTGTGTGGGGACTCCGGGAAGGGGAGGGGCGGGGCGGGGCCAGCCAGGAGAGGGATTTGGGGGTTCTCCAAACTGCACAGAATCTTAGCTAGAGGTTCTCCCGAACCCCTGCGAAGCCCCAGCAGCCCATCCCTGGGTTCATCCCTGTCCCTGGCTGAAATTATTAAAATTTTGCATTCCCGTGAAACGGACACGTTTTTAGACGGAATAGATGTTCACTTGAAACGCTTCTTCGGATCCTGTTCTGGAAAAATTGGATCCTATCTTTTCACCGGAAAGCAACGATAACGGCTCGTATCGAGACCGCCGGAGTGTGTGTGTGTGTATGTGTATGGACGTTTCATACTTGTCATTTCCAGGGTGCCGTTTTCTTTGCCTGACTGAATAGGCGAGAACTCCAATGGAAATGGGACCCCTTTGGGTGGGCTTCTACTTGAAGTCCAGTTGGAAGAGAGAACGCCAGAATGGTAGCAATGAGGAACTAGCAGCTAAAAAAATTAGAAGACTTGAATATGTATTTTCTTTTTTTTATTTGCACCTGCTCTTTTTTCATGAGAAATGGTGGCAGTTAAATGTGCAGCTTCCTTCTACAGCAGGGGTGTCAAACACAAAGGGTTGTGTTTGACCTGGGGGGGGGGCGTGGCCAGGGTGGGCATGGCCAGCTTGACATCACTCGTGTCAGGGGCCCTTGTGGTGTCCTGAGTGCTCGCAGCCCTCCCGAGCTCCGTTTTCGCCGGCAGAGGGTTGCAGGAGGCCATCGCAGCCGAAAACAGAGCTCGGGAGGGCTGCGCGCGGTCTACCCGAGCTCCGTTTTGGCTGACCGAGGCAATGTGGGCTGGTCCTTTGCTGTTTCCAGGGCAGCCCCACGGGCCAGATCTAAGCATCCCGTGGGCCAGATCCGGCCCCCAGTCCTTGAGTTTGACACCCCTGGTCTACAGATTTTGCACTGCTTATAACGATGCACTGTTTTAATTCCACAGGGGCCACTATTTGGTGGCGATGTGGGACAAACACTCCATAGTTGTCGTTTCCGCTCCTTGTCTTAGTTCCTTTTAGATTTCAAGGTCTATTCCATCTTGTACAAACGTAGCAAGCCTTTTTTCTTTTTTTTTAGCAATTTAATCCTAGTTAACAATCATCCAGGCTGGATTGGGAGATCCATTGCCTGATCTAACGTTCCATTCCCATGTTTCCTTATCTGTGGCCTTTTTGCTTTACTGCATTCCTTCTACTTTGGAATATAGCCAAGTTTACTTGAGATCTTTTAAAGTGTATTGTTTGTACTGAAAAAAAGTGTCCATTTTTGGCAGATCCTTGATAGCTTTCCCTACCTGTTCCACTGGAATAGAGTTTCTCAACATTGGTCAAAACGTGTAGACTTCAGTTCCTATAATTCTGACTGAGGAATTTGGCAAGGTTGAAAAACACCACGGTTGAGCAGCGGCCTCCAAACTTGGAAACTTTTAAGACTCGTGGACTTGAACTCCCAGAATTCCCCATCCAGTTTGAGGAAGTCCATGAGTCTTAAAAATTACCAAGTTTGGTGAACCCTGCACTAAAGCAAAGCAGCAATACCAGTTGAAGATTTACACAACTTCCTTTATCCTCCTTCACGTGACCTCCTTCAAGTGTGGATGGAGTTAAAACTCCCAGCTGACACCTGAGGTAGAAATTCTGTAGTTGCCCAAATATATTTGAAGGGGAGAACTGAGCTACAAGGTGATGGCCCAGGCTGACTGCTAAAAGAAATTATAATTACAGATGTGTGAGCTTTTCTGAATCCCAGGAGGCTTCTTCCTATGGTTCCCTTGTACATAGCCTTTACCTTATCGTTTTCATTCGAATCAAAAGTAATTCATTGCAACCATATTATCCAAATTCTCAGGGAGCTGTTGGCTTGAGGTCCAAGTGTAGGAGATGCAGTGCTTTAAACTGCGTAGATTAAATAGGTGTAAACCAGGGGCGTCCAATCTTGGCAACTTTTAAGCACTGTGGACCTCAACTCCCAGGATTCTCCAGCCAGCATGGGGAATTCTGGGAGCTAAAGTCCACAGGTCTTAAAGTTGCCAAGGTTGAGACAGCTTTAGGATAAAGCATTGGCATCCATTTTTCTTGGCGCCAGGCAGTTGTGAAACATAGAGTTGCAAAACTCAACTGTGACGGGAAAACTGTGTCTTTCTCTTTTTCTTCTTCTTCCTTCCTTCCTTCCTTCCTTCCTTCCTTCCTTCCTTCCTTCCTTCCTTCCTTCCTTCCTTCCTTTCCAATAAATAAATAGCAGGGATTGAGTGGACCATTTTTAAGAGCCTTCTCTGAAGAGATGTCTTGAATAGCTTTTCTTGCCAAAGTATTCTGCCTGCACAGTTCCTATGAAATAAGTATTTTTTTAATCATATACGAGGTCTCGATTATATATATATATATATATGGGTGTATAAAAAAAAATCTTACAATGCTGTGCAATGGTGCTTTCAATAAATGTTGTTTTGCATTTAATGTACAAAAGTGGCCTCTCGGTGTTTTTTTTATACTTCACAGATACCCCAAAAAGCTAACGATGCTGCTTCTCGCCATAACAGAGCAGTGCAATAGCAATAGCACTTAGACTTATATACTGCTTCACGGTGCTTTATAGCCCTCTCTAAGCAGTTTAGAGAGTCAGTCTATTGCCCTCACCAATCTGGGTACTCATTTTACCGACCTCAGAAGGTTGGAAGGCTGAATCAACTTTGAGCCGGTCAGGATCGAACTGCCGGCAGCTGGCAGAAATAGCTTGCAGTACTCCATTCTGACCTCTGCGCCCCCACGGGAGGTGTGGACAGAGACATCCAAAGGAGCTGATGCTTTCATTAAAATGACCAAACACGTTGTGCCGTCACACTGCGAGCTCTGCCCCTTTTGTGTCTCTGTGCAACAAGATGATGTGTGCGCGGAAAGAGTGAGAATTATGGCACCGCGCTTGTTGTCGTGTTTGTCATACACACGTACCCCACAGCTGCTTCTGGTTGTGCACCAGCCAAATGACCATACTAAATTCACAATGGAAGGGAGTTCAATAACATGGGGAAAGTAATATATACAGTAGAAGGGATTTTAGTTAATTCATCACATTTTTATTTATACAAAAGAATCCTTAACACATCCAATACACGTACGTCTCAATTTTAGTATATGTTCTGCCGAAGCGAGCACTTACGTACTTCTCTACTACGTATGTCATCTAGTAGTAAATTCCACCATCAAGGGATTGGTGAAGGAAAATGAAATCTGCTCCTCTTAGGTGCTTCCATGGGGTTCAAAAGTGGCAGGAAACACAGAGGTCATACAAAAGCAGCTGGATTCTACCCAGTTATTTGTTTGAGGAATATACAAATAGATGCCTCTGGTTACCATTCAATAGATCAGTTGGGTGATGAGTCCAGAAGTCGCACTAGCAATAGCTTGTAGACTTATATACCACTTCACAGTGCTTTACGGCCCTCTCTAAGCAGTTTAGAGAGTCAGCCTATTGCCCCCAACAATCTGGGTCCTCATTTTACCGACCTCGGAAAGGATGGAAGGCTGAGTCAACCTTGAGCCGGTCAGGATCGAACTCATGGCAGTCAGCAGAATTAGCCTACAACCCTGCATTCTAACCACTGCACCATCACAGCTTGTATGGCTCAAAATGTTACCAAAAAGTAACTCGGTATCACTAGAAAAATATGAGACTAGAAAGGGCTTATACCAGAGGTCTTTAAACTTGGCAGTTTTAAGACGTGTGGACTTCAACTAAAGCTGCCAAGTTTGAAGACCTCTAGTTTATACTCTCAAAATCTCTTAGTAGAAACTTAATAAACTCACTTCTCTTCCTGTTATGAAGGTCCAATGGCTTCCAGGGAAAGCTACTCAAACCTTGTTCCTATCTTTGTGACATCTTTCATTAGCCTACGTGTGGAATGTTAAGGAAACAACACAACTTCCAAGTATCTCCTCAGGTAATTGTGAGCGAGAGGACTGCTGCACTCTTTGGTCTGGGGCAAGGTTTGTAGGATACTAAATGCACTTTGTCCCTATGCATCCAATAGGTGGAATAGGCCACTCTACAAGCAGTTCCAAGTTGGCCGTCTCTTCAAGATTCCTCAGCTTCTTCGATGGGTTGAATTTGCTTCTGTGGTTTTAGAGTAGATGAGGGTTCCTCAGGAGGAGGAGGTTCGTTGGGTTTAGGCTCCAAAGGTAAGGAAGGAACCTTGGCCAGACGAGTTGAGCTTCCAATAACTGGAGAAGGAGAGAGCACAAAGCAGCGATACCAATATTCTCTTCCAGTTAAAAAGCGGTGAAATGCGTATTGATATCGCTTCTTTTCTGATGCTGGAAGGTCAACATTTCTGTACTTCATTCTTGATCTCCACCACTTAAGTTTATTTTATGGATCTGTTATGCTTTCTCATTACGAAAGGAACTGAAATATGGTAAACATCTACAGAGGTTTGAGACATTTGGATGTCCCTTTAGGATTAGTTTATATTTGGTATTTTTTAACTGTCCATCACCCTCAGATAGAGGGATGCACTGAAGGACTCAATTAAGGCTTATTAATCAGTTAAGAATTTTTCACTTTCTCATTCTGCCCTACCACCCTTTTTCTTTTATTTGCTTCCTTCTTTAATTAAAAAATTCTCGTATGTACAATTTTACAACTCTGAATTTGGTTCTTAAATCACTCAACTGCTTCTCCTTCCCCCACTCCGGGGCCACTACCTTGAAGAGACACTGGGCAACGTGCTGTAGGCTTCCTTTCTACTTTTTCCTGTTCATATTCTCTTTCTCTCTCTGCTTCCCTGCCATCAACAAGACAAAAGGGAAATCTTATGCGGGTACTTTTCTGTGCAGCAGAATTGAGATTTCATCAGAGGGTTTTCCCTCTTATCCTTCCCCTTATTTGGGTCAGAGGAGCTCTGCTGCTTAATGTTTTTTTTATCCGTGTTGTGTTATGTTGGTGGCCCCAATTGTGCTTAAACTATTGTGGTTTTTTTACCTTATGCTGCCGGGAGTCACTTTTGTGAGATGGGAGGTGATGTGGTTTAAATAGTTATTTATTTAAAATATTTATATAGCCACCCATCTTTCAATCAACTCTGGGCAGCTTCCAATCAAAATAGATAAATAAATATCTGATATGAAGGAGAAGACACGGCTATAGAATCAAGATATGATGCTCTACCTATCTCTAGTTATGGCCAGCCTTCCTTTTAATCTAGGCTGGGGAAACACTAGATACAAAGATGTGGCTAAACCAGGGGTCTCCAAACTTGGTAAGACCTGTAGACTTCAACTCTCAGAATTCCCCAGAAGTGCCAAGTTTGGAGACCCCTGAGCTAAACCAGCCAACCAACCATTGCCAAGATATGTCAGGGGCCATTGAAACCAAGCTTGATTGAGTAGTTCCCAGTTCTTGGAGTTCTTGAGAAGAACTGAGAAGGCAGGACGGATTCTGCTTAAGCCAACGAGGGCCAGAAGACCTACCTTGACTCATGGTCTTTGCGTAGCCAGCCGCGGAAGACATTGCCTGCCCGAGAGCTTGATTGGAACCCAATGGCTGCGCGCTGGATGCAGCCCCTCGTGGCTTCGGTTTTGAGTCTTTACCAGGTTTGGCCCATATTGCAACCTCTCCAAGCTGTAAGGAAGTGCCCAGTCTCTGGGCTATGTCCACCATCTGACCATGCAAAAGAAGAAGGAAAATTGAATGCCTGGTCAAATCCTGCGGCAGATTTTGGCTTCACTGAAGGAAATAAGAGAACCGCGAGAGATGCTTATATATCCATTTGGAAAATGGTCTCGATTTGTCGGCGGTTGCCAGAAGTCATTTTAATATTTGACAGGGACAGAAATTGAATCTTCTGACTTGAATAAGGTGCAGGTTTAAGAAGATACCACTTTCAGTAACAGAGGTGTCTTCTCTAACAGAACACCTCTGATTTAAGTCAACCACTCTGCTCCCCTGCTGTGGAAGCTCCCATTAGTAGATTACAATCAACATACCTCGGGGTCAAAATCCAGGGTGCTCTCTTTTAACGCATGGACCTTTCTTTGCATCTCGTAGTACTGAGCAACAGCTTCCTTCTTATCACCTTGATTGTATAGCAGGATTGCGTAATTCAGACTGATGAGCGGGTTGCCCCTGTAAGCCAGAAGAAACACAGTCTTAACCTTGAAATAAGAAACATCGGTTTATTTGGCCAGTTAATGGAGAAAGTAGACAAATGTGACCAATTGCATTGTAGTCACCAAGTTTTTTTCATACTGAAAGGATTATATGTGCGAACGTGCACATGTGTGGACATGTGTAGACATGCACATGCGTGGACATGTGTGGACATGCGTGCATGCACAACAGAGACCCAAAGACCAGCTGGCTGGTGGGAGGCAGGGCATCCCAACACCGGCAGCACGGCAAGAGGTAAGATCTTTTTCTTTCGTGAGCTTCTGTTTCTTCATTTGCAGGGAAACAGAAGCTCACGAAAGAAACGCCACGGAGATCTCACCTGGGGCGATGGCGCACGTGCCGGCACAGAGGGCTCTGCATGCCACCTCTGGCACGCGTGTCATAGGTTCACCATTACGGCCCTATACTATTTCAGTCATGTGATCACCTCCAGTGATGGAGCACCCACAACTTCTGGTGGCAAGCTGTTCCACTGGCTAATTGTTCTCACTGTCAGGAAATTTCTCCCTAGTTCTAGATTGGATCACTCCTTGGTAAGTTTTCATCCACTGCTTCTTGTCCTGTCTTCTGGGGCTTTGGAAAAGAGATTGACCCCCTCTTCTTTTGTGTCAGCCCCTCAAATATGGAAGACTGCTATTCTGGGAGTTGAAGTCCACAGCTCTTAAAGTTGCCACGGCTGGACACCCTTGGTCTAACAGCATCGCTTTTCATTGAGTTCAGAGGAAGCCCTCCCTAAAATTAAGCAAGTAGAGAAGACATACGTGTCCAGTGATGAAGCTTTTTGATAGGCTAGCCTCGCATTTTCAAGATCTTCAAGATTTGTTAGGGCAACTAAAATAAGGAAGGAAAGAAAAAAAAAACCAGAAGGGTTTATTATCTACCTAATATGGAGGAGAACTGATTATATTTTACCCTTGAACCAATGACATTTTCAATTTAAAGAATGAACGTCGTCCTCTCTTACGGTGAAATTATCTTAGCATAATTGTTTTAAGAAGGTCATTAATAAGAACTGTATGTTTAAAATACAATATCGATGACTACTAGCTATCACAGCAAAGCAGATGTTTCTGGAGGCAGGAATCAGAATTTTAAGTAAGGAGGCGTGGAGGGTAGGTGCAGCATTGATACCTGCTAACAACATGTAAATTTCTGCCAACTTTGGCTGGAGATGGACAGCTGCGCTGATGAAGTGGAAGGCGGAAGCGTATTGGTGCATTGTCAGGTGGACCAGCCCGAGATTGTACAGGGTCTTCCAATTGAAGGGTGAGAGATAGTTTGCCCGTTTCAGGCAGCTGATGGCCTGTAGAAGAACATTGTTTGGTCACTAAGGGAGAAGATCGGGATGCCCCAAGGCCACCGTCTGGGCCTTGGATGCCTCTACAAAACAACACTGTCCTTCTCCAAAAGAAATCCTGTTTTTCACTTGCAAATCCTGGCTAAGGTGAACATAACGAGATGTAATTCAATTTATTCTGATTGATCCATCCACTGAGGACAGTTTGGTGTAGTGGTTAAGGTGCTGGCCTAGAAACCAGGAGACAGGGAGTTCTAGTCCCACCTTAAGCCTGAAAGCCAGCTGGGTGACTTTGGGCCAATCACCAGGAGACAGTGAGTTCTAGTCCCACCTTAAGCCTGAAAGCAGACTGGGTAACCTGGGGCCAATCACCAGGAGACAGTGAGTTCTAGTCCCACCTTAAGCCTGAAAGCCAGCTGGGTGACTTTGGGCCAATCACCAGGAGACAGTGAGTTCTAGTCCCGCCTTATGCATGAAAGCCAGCTGGGTGTCTTTGGCCAATCACCAGAGACAGTGAGTTCTAGTTCCGCCTTACGCATGAAAGCAGACTGGGTAACTTGGGGCCAATCACCAGGAGACAGTGAGTTCTAGTCCCACCTTAAGCCTGAAAACCAGCTGGATAACTTTGAGCCAATCACTCTCTCTTAGCCCAATCCACTACATAATGTTGCTGTTGTGGGAAAAAATAGGACAAGGAAGAGGTATTATGTACGTAGAAGTAACAGTTGAGTTACTTCTAAAGTAATAAAGGTGGGATGAAAATCAAATAAATACTCGTTTTCTGATAAAGTGAGAAATCAGATCATGCGTTCATTCATGGTCATTTTTGGCTAGAAAAGAGCGAATCAAGTGTCGAATGTGGCAATGTAGCTAAATAGTTCAGATTTTAAAAAAAGGGAAAGAGGTGCCCGGGCTGTTAATTGCTCAGCGGGGAAATAAATCCTTTTACAACGCGGACCCTCGCTCGGAACAGCTTGCATATCAAACAGTGTGTGTGTGCCCCTCCGAGGCGCACAGCCCAAAACCCTCAAGAACGAGGTTGGAGTGACTGAGAGGCTCTGGTGCCTGATCGAGTATTCGCAAATCCTTCAAATCAGGAGGCTCCGGAGAGAAGATGCCAGAGGCAGAACGTGCAACGGGGAAATGGAGAAACAGCAGGGGTCCCTTCCTTGCTGTTTCTTATTTTCTCCAAATGTCGGGGCGAACAAGATATACCCTCCTCCCCTCTCCCTCTGTGTGTGTCTCTTTCTCTCTCTCTGTGTGTGTGTGTGTGTATCTGTGCAACCCCACTTTCCCCCCAGGCAAAGGCCTTGAAAGGAAAGCAATGCACCAGAAAACAGACAAAGTAAAAAAAAACAGTGAAGAAAGGGCACCCGATTTTCTCACAACCAAGGAGCACAGCGACACGAGAAACACAGACAGGTAGTCCTCGACTTACGACCATTCGTTTAGCCACTGTTCGAAGTTACAACAGCATTGGAGAAAGTGACTTATGACCGGTCCTTCGCACGGAACGATTGTCACACAGCATCGACACGGTCATACGTCCAACATTCGGGCCGCTTTGCAACTGGCGTGTACTTGTGACGGTTGCAGCGTCCTGGGGTCATGCGGTCGCCAATTGAGGAAGCTTCCCAGGCAGCTTTTGGCAAGCAGAGTCAATGGAGGAAGCTGGGTTCACTTCAACAAGGGCAGTGATTCACTTGACAATCATGTGGGTGGCGCATTGGTTAGAATGTAGTATTGCAGGCTAACTCTGCCCACTGCCAGCAGTTCGATCCTGACTGGCTCAAGGTTTGCTCAGCCTTCCATCCTTCTGAGATTGAGGACCCAGATTGTTGGGGGGCAAAGATGCTGACTCTGTAGACCACTTAGAGAGGGCTGTAAAGCACTGTCAAGTGTATATAAGTCTAAGGCTATTGCTATCTTGCTATCTTGCTATCTTGCTATCTTTCCTTCCTTCCTTCCTTCCTTCCTTCCTTCCTTTCCTTCCTTCCTTCCTTCCTTCCTTTCCCATTTTAAATGCAGCATTGCAGGCTAACTCTTCCACTGCCAGCAGTTTGATCCTGACTGGCTCAAGGTTTGCTCAGCCTTCCATCCTTCTGAGATTGAGGACCCAATTGTTGGGTGCAAAGTGCTGATCCTTTCCTTTCCTTTCCTTTCCTTTCCTTTCCTTTCCTTTCCTTTCGTTTCCTTTCCTTTCCTTTCCTTTCCTTTCCTTTCCTTTCCTTCCCTTCCCTTCCCTTCCCTTCCCTTCCCTTCCTTCCTTCCTTCCTTCCTTCCTTTCCCTTCCCTTCCCTTCCCTTCCCTTCCCTCCCTTCCCTTCCCTTTCCTTCCTTCCTTCCTTCCTTCCTTCCTTTCCCTTCCCTTCCCTTCCCTTCCCTTCCCTTCCCTTCCCTTCCCTTCCCTTCCCTTCACATGATTAGAATGCAGCAATGCAGGCTAACTCTGTCCACTGCCAGCAGTTTAATCCTGACCGGCTCAAGGTTGATTCAGCCTTCCATTTGTAAAGCACTGTGAAGCGGTATATAAGTCTAAGTGCTTTGCTATTGCTATGGGGAAAAAAAAAGTTGTAAAATCGAACACGACTCCCTTAACAACTGCCTGGCTTAGCAATGGAAATTCTGGCCCCGATTGTGGCCGTAAATCAAGGACTACTTACATACACCTCCCTGCCATAGAAGAGGGGAAAGAGTCAATGGGAAACGGAGGGAGAGAATTTCTGTTCTTCCTCCTACCGAAACATACAAGGGGAACATATAACAGGAAGGCAAGATGCTCACCGCCACGTATTTCTTTTTGCCAAAAAAGCACATCCCGATGTTGTTCCAGAGCAGGGGGCTCTCGGGAACGGTACAAGCCACGATCCGGTACTTGCTGAGAGCCATATCGAAGTCCCCATGAGTTTGCATCATACTGCCAGCTGCCAAAATGGCCTTTGAAAGACAAGAAGCCCAAATGAAGTAGGCCAACGAAGAAAACCTTTAACAGTTTAACAGAGTTTGAAGGTCATCTAGTCCAACCCCCCGCCCAAGCAGGAGACCCTACACCATTTCTGACAGATGGCAGTCCAGTCTCTTCCGGAAAGCCTCCAGTGCTGAAGCTCCCACAACTTCTGAAGGCAACTTCTGTTCCATTGATTGATTGTTCTCCCTGTCAGAAAATTCCTCCTTATTTCCAGGTTGAATCTCTCCTAGATCAGTTTCCATCCATTATTCCTTGTTTGGCCTTCAGGTGCTTTGGAGAATAGCTTGACCCCCTTCTTCCTCTCTGTGGCAGCCCCTCAAATATTGAAAGACTGCTATCCTGTCTCCCCTGATCCTTCTCTTCACTAGAGTAGCCATGCCCAATTCCTGCAACCGTTCATCGTACATTTTAGCCTCCAGTCCCCTAATCATCCTGGTTGCTCTTCTCTGCACTCTTTCTAGAGTCTCAGCATCTTTTTTTATAATGTGATGACCAAAACTGGATGCCTTACAGTAAATAAGTAAATAGGGCACAAGCTCCATATTTTCAAGAAGCCAGAATGGAGAAGTGTGGTCTTAAGTTTCAGGAATGCATTGAAAGGGAGACACATGGCAAAAACCTGTGGCCCAAATGGTGAGAGGGGTACAATAATAATACAAACCAGAAATAACTGCATTCTTGCAGTCTGGAAGTGTGAGTGTGGGGGGAGAGGGGAAAGCCTGTTCACAGTCTTCCATTATGCTTGTTGTATAAAGTTGTTTATTTACATGCACAGAGGATGTTTTTCTTGGGGGGGAGTGTAGGATAAGCAAAGTTATACAAAATGCGGGGAAGCAATCAGAAAGAGGAAGACAGGGAAATCTAGGCATGAGGTAAGCGAAATAAAAGGAATTTGCTAAATCTAGTTTACACCAACACCGCTTACTATAACTACCAATTATGCTTGCTTTTGCTATGAGGATGCACTATGAGGATCTCAACTCTATTCCCCCGCAAATTTCATGGAAACCACTCACTTTTCCTTTTGTTTATCTGTTTTGAGATTCAAACCACATCCGTTCCTTCTTTGGATCCAACTACTCCCAATATACTCCTTTCGTGATATTCATTCACTTTTGACTTAGAGACTTGGAATAATTTTATTGTCACTTTGAATGTACGCTAATCGGTGTACATTAAAATGAAATTTGGTTGCACACAGCTCTCAAAGGGTCTCCACCTCTAATATACACGACATAAACATGAATAGGATAGAATAACAGAGTTGGAAGGGACCTTGGAGGTCTTCTAGTCCAACCCCCTGCTTAGGCAGGAAACCCTATACCAAGACAAATGGCTGTCCAACATCTTCTTAAAAATTTGACAATGACAAAAATTATTCATATACCCACGTATATTATATGCATTTATCACCCTTGCATTCTGGCTCTTTTATTTTTACTACATGCCCTTAACTATCTCATTCTTGCTGTATCCAACATACTTTCACATTTGCTGCTAAGATACTCAGCTCTGATTCCCATGTAACAAAGATGACAGAAGCCCGTTTCACATACTGCCATTTTTTTTTCTTATTTAAAAAAAAAAAAACATTCATCACTCTGAACATTTTTGCCCTCATTTGCACATGTTAATATTTCTCTGGTTTCCAATTTTTGTAAATAGCCTAGCAAGATAAATTAATTGACTTGTCATTTATGCATAACGTGCAGTTATTCATTTTCTAACCTCTGAACACCATCGCATTTGTACATTTCATCGTAAATACATTAAACCAACAAGGGGATATATTATATCTTAATTCCGTCTTAGCAGCAAGCCGTTTGTTAAGCAAGCCATGCATTTTCACGCCTCCTTTATAACAGTAACAGAGTTGGAAGGGAACTTGGAGGCCATCTAGTCCAACCCCCTGCTCACGCAGGAGACCTATACTAGGGATTCGAACCGCCGAACTGCCGACCTTTCTGACTGACAAGCTCAGCGTCTTAGCCACTGAGCCACCTAGCAAGGCTTTACTTCCACCTTAAACTATTCCTTGGTGTATTCAACAATTAACTTTAAGGTAAAGGTAAAGGTTCCCCTTGCACATATGTGATAGTCGTTCCTGACTCTAGGGGGCGGTGCTCATCTCCGTTTCAAAGCCGAAGAGCCAGCGCTGTCCGAAGACGTCTCCGTGGTCACGTGGCCGGCATAACTCAACGCCAAAGGCGCACGGAACGCTGTTCCCTTCCCACCAAAGGTGGTCCCTATTTTTCTACTTGCATTTTTTACCTGCTTTCAAACTGCTAGGTTGGCAGAAGCTGGGACAAGTCACGGGAGCTCACCCCGTTACGCGGCACTAGGGATTCGAACTGCTGAACTGCCGACCTTTTAATCGACAAGCTCAGCGTCTCAGCCACTGAGCCACCGCGTTCCTTTTAACCTTATACTTTAACTTTATACATGTACAAAAACACTGATAACTTAAGCCTGTCTTCCGATTCTCCAACTTACCTTATAGTTGCAGGGATCAAAGGTGAGGGCGTTGCCAAGGTATTCAAAGGCTTTCTGATAAATCTCAAGCTAAGAAAAGGAAAAAAACGTGTAAAGACACATTTATCACTGAGGATTATTCTACTGCAGGGGTCCTCAAACTACGGCCAGCCAAAGCCATGAATTCGGCCCGCGCAGGACCACGAGGCTGCCCCACCCACATCGCCCCACCTACCGCCGGCCCCCACCTGCCTTCTGGAGGCTGACGAGGCCAAAAACGGGATGCGCGGAGGCCCCGGGAGGCCAAAAACAGGCCCATTTTTGGCCTCCCCAGCTGAGAGAGAGAGAGAGAGAGAGAGAGAGAGGAGAGAGGGAGGGAGATGGGGAGAGGGAGACAGACAGACACACACACACACAAACAGAAGTCCCTCACCCACCCCACAGGCAGCCACATCCCTTCACTAACCTGCTTTCCACCCCCAGGAGCATAACAAATTAAAGTTTAATTTGTGTGTATTGTTTAATGGACTGCTAAATTGGCCACGCCCACCCAGTCACATGACCACCTAGCCACATCCACCCTGCAGGTCAGGCCACCCAACAGTCTGAGGGACCATGTTTAAAAAGTTTGAGAACTCCTGTTCTACCGTCACTGCATTCGGAGAGAGGCTTTCCTACACATTATATTTCGGCTCTAAGAGGAATGAGTCTTCAGTCTACCAATTAGATGTGGGGTGGAGGGGGCAACACAGTGGAGGTTTACTTTCAATGCAAAGAAGGAAAAAACATCTACTACAGCTAAACTACAGGTAGTCCTCGACTTAAAGCAGTCCATTTAGTGACTGTTCGAAGTTGCGACAGCACTGAAGAAAGTGACTTATGACTGTTTTTCACCCTTTTGGCCCATTTGTAGCGTCCCCAAGGTCATGTGATCAAAATTCAGATGTTGATAACGGACTCATTTATTATGACCGTCGCAGTGTCGTGGGGTCATGCGATCCCTTTTGCAACCTTCTGACAAGCCCAGGCCTGGAAGCCACCTTTAGCGTTAGATCTTCAGACCTGCCATGTTTACTACTGTGGGAAACTGGAAGCGGGGATTGTGTGCAGCCAAGGTGATATGTAGTCATAATAACATTCCTTTCTCAGAGAGTCAAGGACATCTTGCCCTGAACCTGGAGAGCTGAAACTGGGAGGCCTCTCTAGTTGGGACAGTGCATTGATTGGACCATGTGATGGACATGTGGGTGCAGGGAGAAGGAACTTGGACTTTCCTTTGGGTGGGGAAAACCTGGAAGCTTTCAGATTTGGGTTTTCCCAGATGTGCCAATAGGACATCTCTCATAAAATGGAACTTTGAGGAACTTCAAGCCACGGAGTCTTCTTTCGTTGGGGGTGTTACTTGGAACCCTGATTCCAAGATTCACTTAATAACTTAGTAACTATCTTACTAACTTAATAACGGCAGTGATTCACTTAACAACTATGGAAAGAAAGGTGGTAAAATGGTAAAATGGTAAAATGAGGCAAAATTCACTTAACAACTGTTTGGCTTAAGGGAAGAAATTTTGTGGTCATAAGCTGAGGACTACCTGCATGAACGAATTATCAACTTTTCATACCTCGAGGTAAAGCAAGCCCAGAATTGTAAGGAGCTCTGTGTTTTCAGGAGAGAATCTGAAAAAACACAGAAATACAGATTGCAGGGTTTTAAAAGTGTCTCTTGCCCTCATTAAATCCAAACAACCATTCATTCTTCTGCAGGGGAAGGAAGGAAAGTGACCCAAAATATCAGAGTACTTGAGGGATATCAATGATTTCTATGCCAATGATTAAAAATTACAGCCTCCTTTTAATGACAACCCATAATTAAGCTAGTCAAAATAGGCCTGCCTCCAGTTTAAAGTCAATTTAATTGGCTCTGGATTAGAAGTTTAGGGGCTTACCAACCCACGAGCATGCCAGAGATATTGCGCTGGGCTTTGCTCTAAGCTGGCAGATGGAGGAGAGTCTGTTGTCCAAAATTGAAAAAAGGAACGTTTTTCATAATCTTCCCAAATTCAAGAAAGTAAGGTGCCTTCCCAGTTGCAATGGATGGCTGTGAAAGCTGGACCACAAGGAAGGCTGAGCGCCAAAGAATGGAGGCCTTTGAACTCTGGTGCTGGAGAAGACTCCTGCAAGTCCCTTGGACTGCAAGGCCATCCAACCGGTCAGTCCTAGAGGAGATGAACCCTGACTGCTCTTCAGAAGGCCAGATCTTGAAGAGGAAACTCAAATACTTTGGCCACCTAATGAGAAGGAAGGACTCCCTAGAGTCGGGAAGGGCAGAAACGGGCCTGTTTCTGGCCTCCAGAGGGCTTCCAGAGCCTGGGGAGGCAGTTTTTGCCCTCCTGGAGGCTCAAGGACAGCCTCCGGAGCCCGGGGAGGGCAAAAACACCCCCCTTCCTCTGCTGTGATGCAGGAGGCTGACTAGTCCACACCCACCATGGTCACGCCCACCCAGCAACCGGGCAGAGAATCCCCTTGCTAAAAATTTTGAAGCCCACCCCTGAATCCAAACCCAATTTGTTAGTTATTATGTATACAGTGCAGCATCCCTTGCCTTGCCTTGCCACAGTTAACTCCATTCGTCTGGTTGGGAGACCTCCAAAAGGATTCCTTTTTCTTTGGGGGGATCTCTGGGTCTTGGGCTAGGTGGCCGGTCTTCTCCATGGTGGCCCCGTTAGCTCTACTATTGAATAGGAGCTTGGGGGAGGACCCTGGGCCTGCCAATTAAATGGGAGGCTAAGGGGGTTTCCTGGAGGATGGGAAGGCCCCTTCCTTTCTTGAATTAATAACAACACAGCCAAAATAAAGCCCTTAACTGGAGCCAAACCCTAATTGAAAAAGGACATCTCCCTCCACATGCTAAAGAGGAGAAACGAAGAAAATATCTTACTCCACTGCTTTTTTATAGATTTCAATGGCTGCGTCTCTATCCCCCTCCATCAGGTGGATTCTCCCCAGCGTCATGTACGTCAGGTCATGTCGATTGAGCTGCAAGGCGTTGTTCAGCTGATCTTTGGCCTGAATGCAAGCGAGAGAATGGGCTTGGTTTCGTCACGATTACTCTTGAGCCGATCCGAACGTGGTGGCTCTTATTCTGCCTTGAGCTGAAATAGGTCTCTCCCTCCCCAACAATGTCAAGCAGCTGCTTGGGGGCGAGAAGGGAGGGACAAAATGCATCAACTATATCTTCTAGTCCAACCCTTTGCTCAAGGCAGCAGCCTTATCTGTCCTCTATGGTGCTACTTTCAAATCTTTGGTGGTTTATGCCCCCAAACCTAAAGTAAAACTAATTAGGGGTGACCTGATAGCTCTTTTCCAATATTTGAGGGGCTGCCACAAAGAAGAGGGAGTCAAGCTATTCTCCAAAGTACCCGAAGGCAGGACAAGAACCAACAGATGAAAACTAATCAAGGAGAGAAACAACTTAGAACTAAAGAGAAATTTCCTGACAGTGAGAACAATTAATCAGTGGAACAATTTGCCTCCAGAAGTTCTGAATGCTCCAACACTGGAAGTTTTAAAGAAGATGTTGGACAGCCATTTGTCTGAAATGGTATTGGTATCTCCTGCCTGAGCTGGGGGTTGGACTGGAAGACCTCCGAGGGCCCTTCCAACTCTTGTTATTCTGTTATTATTCTAATAATTCATTACACAAAGTTTGAGGATCGGCTGCTTTCTTCTCTCTCCTTCTTTTCCTTCTCCACATCCCTTGCTTAAATGCCACTAACTTGAGCTGGTGGGGAAGGGAGGGAGGGAGGGGGGAAGCTCTGGGCTGAGACTAGAGTTGCAGTGAGGGTGAGGAAGTGTAAAGAGACAAAAGATCCCAGCGGGGGTTTTATAGGTCATCCTGCCCAAAAGTGCTGATGCCAGCATGAACTTCAGGATTGATGAAGTGTGCAGAGACAACACAGGTTTCTTCCTGCAAAAACCCTCCCCCCCCACCCCCCATCCAAAGGCATTGATTGGAAAGCCTTGTTCTCCTCTCCCCCAGACCCAGCTGGTGGGATGGAAGGAAAAGCTTGCAGGTTTTGAGATTTCTCCCACAGGCCCATTTATAAAAGGGGGAGAGGGGGTTGGAGAGAGAGGAGGGGGGGCTTATCGGGTTTTTTTTTTTTTTTTAAAAGGATGACTTTATGTAACACAGCATATTTGTTACTAAAAGGTATAAATAGCACAGCTCTCTGTAGACTTCATTATATTTTATAGGCTGGTGTAAGTTAGCATAAGAGGGACAGAGGGAACTCCTCAGCCTGACGGCAAAATACACCAGCACGCTTCCCTTTTAAAGGCAAACATCACCCCAGAGAGAAGGGAGGGACCGGTTTTTTTCCCCCATGGCTTGAAAGAAGCAAGCCAAGAATTCGCCCTTAATAAAATCTTGGCTTGGTCTTAGCAACTAGAACAAAACAAACAGGTTCTGACTCGGGGACTGCTGGAAGAGGCAACCTCGATGCAAGGAACAGGGAGCGTCATTAACACCCAAATGTCTGAAGTGGGAAGAGACAGGAACCAGTTGGGCCCTTAATGATGACAGACTGGTTCTTAACTTGGACCAGTCTGTCATCTGCACCTCCATAACTGTCTGGTTTGGCTCTGCAACCCAACAAGACAGCCCCATACCTCAACGGATAATTAGAACTGCAGAAAACATAATTGCTACCAACTTGCCTTCCTTTGAGGACCTGTATACTGCATGAGTCAAAAAGAGGGCTGTGAAAATATTTACAGACCCCTCGCATCCTGGACTTAAACTGTTTCAACTCCTACCCTCAAAACGACGTTATAGAGCATTGCACACCAGAACAACTAGACACAAGGACAGTTTTTCCCCGAATGCCATCACTCTGCTAAACAAATAATTCCCTCAACACTATAAAATAAATTATTAAGACTGCATAATTATTATTATTCTCTTCCTTACTAGTATCTATCCCTTCCCACTTATTACTATAACCATGTGCCTGTATCTTTCAATTTATATTGTTTTTACTGGTTTCCTAGTGCGATTTGATAGCTTATTAGTAACCTTGACTATCACTAAGTGTTGTATCTTATGATTCTTGATGAATGTATTTTATTCTCCTTATGTACACTGAGAGCCTATGCACCAAAGACAAATTCCTTGTGTGTCTAATCACACTTGGCCAATAAAGAATTCTATAAAGAATTCTATTCTTAAGAGGGCTAGCTGAAGCTTCAAGATGGCATAAGTCTAACGTGGAGGTCCTCTTTCACAAGGCAGCTTAAAGGCATTAAGTAATGAAATGCAGATTCTGGCTTTTTAAGCAGCTTCGAATTTTGGAGGATTCCCGGAAAGCTGGGACTTAAGAGCCATCATGGATTGCCTGGCATATCATATAATATAGCTGAACGGGCCATTTTTTACCTTGTTGAAATATTTCAGCTGCATGTAGCACACTCCCAAGTTATGGAAGATCTCCTAGTTGGAAAAAGAAGGGAGGTTTATAAAGGGAAACCATTTCTCGTTGCACATTGCAAAATGCTGATGTCAAGCTTGCAATCCAGGGGTGAAATCTACTTACCGTCCTTACCGGTTCAGAAGCGCATACACCGCGCAGATCTTCTGTGCAAGCGCAGAAGGTAAAAAACACATTCCTTCCTGGTTAAAACCAGGAAGTAATGACACCTGGGCAGGTGGGTGGAGCTTCGCCCCGCCATCGCTACCAGGTCGCTGAACCACCGGCCAAGACCGGCCCAAACCAGGGATGAAATCCGCTTTCGAAATAAGAAGAAGAGCTTCACACATACCCAGTCCTTCTCGTTGTGTTGAGCTGCGTCGTTGTAGACTTCGATAGCGGCTTTGTGCTTGCCCAGGAGAAACCTGCAACACATTCGCTCTTTCGTATTTTTTTCTCAGCTTGTTTACTGGAGATTGTTTGTCAGTCGTTGGGATCAAGGGGGCTTCGAGGAAGCCACTTTTATTTTTAGATATAACAGAGCAGGCAAAGAGCCGCCTGAAGAATTATAATCTTTTACCACCAGAAAGGGACAGTACAGGCAGTCCTCCACTTACGACGATTCATCTGGTGATGGTTCAAAAATTACAACAGCACTGGAAAAAATGGACTTATGACCGTTTTTCACACTTGCGACCATTGCAGCATCCCCCATGGTCAATTCAGGCGCTTGGCAACTGACTCATATTTATGACGGTGGCAGTGTCCCAGGGTCCTGAGACAGGAACCCCTTTTGAGACCTTCTGACAAACAAGATCAATGGGGAAACCCCACCGTTTTTGGCCTAGCAGGCCTCAGGGAAGCCTCGTGGAAGCAAAAACAAACTTCCCCCAGTAGGTAGTAAAAAATGCTTTAAAAAGTAAAAAAAAAGCTCTGAGGATTGCTCGGCACAGTTGATTGTCACAGCTAATTGTTGGAACCTTTTTTTAAACTTTTTAAAGCATTTTTTTATTTCCTATTGCCCAAATGGGTAGTAAAAAAAATGCTTTAAAAAAGTAAAAAAACTGTTCAGACGATCAGCGGTGCCGCGCCATCTTCAGAACTTTTTTTTTTTTTCTTTTTAAAGCATTTTTACTACTGGTTCAGCGAACAAGTCACATTTGTTATTACCGGTTTGGGCGAACCGGCCTGAACCGGTAGCATTTCACCCCTGATTGACACCCTCTTCAGAAGTCCCATCCCACTCCGTATGACATCTTAGGTAGGAAGAATAAAATGACACTTACAGGGAGCGGGCCACCTGCTTGAGGTTGTCTGCACATCGGGGCCTGAGAATAGCACAAGTCTGGAAAAGCTCCAGAGATTCGTGAATTTTTCCTTCCAAGCGAAAGATCAAAGCTGGAAGTAACATTGCCATAGCATGTTAATCAGGAGGATCCCATGATCATATTTTAATATTAATACTTTAATTTCTGCTAATGCTTTACGTTCTGTCCTAAAGGACAGCCTAAAAATGTTGCAGGTATATACAGGAGTGAACAAGGAGCTCAGGTGTCCTTCTCTTGGTTATACGTCTATTCAAAAATTGCCCCTTCCCAGAACTATTTTTAATTTTAAAAACACACTGGAGTTGCAGCAAATAAACTGATGAGTAACATATCGATCACCCCAAGGCTGCAGGGAGACGTGATCCAGATTCTCTTAAGTCACTGTAGGTAAATTAATTTTTTGAATTTTGAATTTCATGCCTACCCTTCACCAAACAACCAGCGAGACTGTGCAAATATTCCGCTCTCAGGTTTTTCTATCAAACAGGAGGTGCTGTTAAAGCACTTAAGCTCTGATGATCCCCAAAGAGGTTGCTGTGTGTTCTTACAAAGCACATCAGTGCAGCTTGAAGCTTGTTTAATCACGGAGCAGTTTTCACTTACCTTGAACGTAGACGGCGTATTCACACATTCCTTGGGTTTCCTGCAGTTGCTCTTTTATGGCAATCTGAACCCCAAAAGGAAGAGAGAGATTCGATCGTGAGAATTTTTTTTATTTTGGAGAAGAGGCAGAAGGTCATTGATTGACTGCAACTGACCAGCCCTTTTACAACAGCCACTCAAAGACTCAGGTGAGTCTTTGGGGAAGGTTGGCACTGAAACTTAAAATGGCTGTCTGTTCTGACATAGGCTTCCTGAGACAGTAAAAAGCACACAATTAGTCCCCAAAACCCTCTTTTTATTTCTCACACTGTTCATTCACGGATGAGTCACAAATAGTTGTAAAGAGTCTGACAGAAGTCTGCCACAGTCCTTCGGGATAAGGCTGATAAGCACCCACCTTTATTATCTCCCTTGCTGCCAAAAACCTAATGGGCAATTAACTTTGCAAGGCCACACAGAGCACAGAGTCAAAACGGAGCTTCAGACTTTAAACCGACCAGCACAAATAAAGTTGTTTCCTGCAAAGGCTCACGTGCCTTTGCTCCTCCTTTATGTCTTATGGGAGGGGCCGATCATCTCCAAGCCTTACTCCCGAGTCGCCCTTTTTTAAAAAAATTGTTCTTGCCTTCTGGCAGCTCTGTGCATGCATGCACTGGGAACAGGCTCCCCCTGTTCCTCTGCCTCGCTAATGTCAGACTCTGGAGGCTCCGGAGTTAGCACATAACTCCCAGATGGCCCTGGCCTCATCTCTGCCTCCGATACAGAGCCCTCATCTGGGCCTTTCCCAGCCTCCAGGACTGGCCCATGTTCCCCCACAACCAGCCTCCTCCCTGTCCAACTCTGCTGCCAGCTCTGCAGGCTGCCGGCGGACCACAACAGGATGCGGGATGAATGGTAACAAGTGATTCAATAGGATGGGAAGGGAGGGGAAGGGAGGGGGTAGGATGGGACAGGATGGGACAGGCAGGGCAGGGCAGAGTAAAACAGAGCAGAATAAAACAGAACAGAACAGAATTCTTTATTGGCCTTTGTCTCCATTGAATAAGCTCAGAGTGTACATATAAACAGCAAGTCATAGGTCATAGGTCATAAATCATAATTGCAATCATTAATCATAAGTTACAAACAACTTGATAAATCACAAGAAACCAATGGGAGAGTAGGAACGATGAGAAGACGAGAAAAGATGAGAAGTGAGACAGTGCTGTGGGAATTAAGTGTTCAGCAGAGTGATGGCCCAGGGGGGAAAAAACCGATCTTTATGTCTAATTGTTTTGGCACGCAAGTGTTGTAAAAACAGCCCTTCGTCAGGAAAAAGGCCGTTCGGGTGAAACGCAACTTACGTGTCACATATTTCTTCCCCTCTTCCGTGACAGGTTACATACTGCCACACAACACTTTGCAACTTGATGCCAGATCTCTCTGACAAACTGCTGGCTAGGGAAGACTTATTCCCCCCCCCCCCCCGGTGTGTGGCATTACCCGCAATTTAGTGTTATCCCAATCAACTTCAGAACATACACTGGGTGGCAATCCTGGTTAGCGCTAACCACAGTTAGTCACACGCTAGTTAGGATTCTTAGGTGGGGTGGTGGTGGTGGAATGGGTTGTGCATAAAGTCATGGAAAATAGAACTGAACGCCATCCTGGGAACAAAGACTTGGCTTTTTATTTATTTTATGTTTATTTATTTTGTCGAGTATGCATTAGATAATATATGTAAGCATGAATTGAATACATAAAATGAATACAATTAAAGGGAACATTAAGACAGGGACGGTAGGCAACGCTGGTGCTCTTATGCACCTCTTCTCTTGTTGAGAATGGATGACATGTTCCTCCGTGGTTGGTGCTTCACTCCGTCTTAACTGATGACTGCCTTGACAAGTCCCTGCAATCTTCTTGGCAACCTTTTTGCAAGTAATAGGTTGGCCCTTTCCTTCTTTCTAGGGCTGAGAAAGAGCGGCTGGCTCAAAGCCTCCCACCCGTGCCTAAGGCAGGGCTCTAAGCCCAGGGGATTTAATCATGTCGCCAAACTCGTTCCTACCTTACAGGCATCGTAATCTTTGCGCACGTAGTACAGGTGGATCAGCCAGTTCTTCTTCTCCAGAATGGGAAGGTCGGGCACTGCGAAAGAGGAGGGCAGAACAAATCTTTAGAGCCGGGTTCCTCAAACCTTAACGACTTTAAGATCTCTAGATTTCGGCTCCCAGAATTTCCCAGCCAGAGATCTTAAACCTGCCGAGGTTGAGATTTAATTAAGCCACTGACTCGGGCTTCCAACCAGGGCGACATGAAGCAAAATCTGCTTTTCTTGCTCCAACGTGACAGAAGGCACCAGCAGGAAACAGAGGCTGAGCTATGTAGGGGGAGAAGAGTTTTGAAAGATTGCTGCAGGAGATCCAGAGATGCTGAAGATGTCATAAAGTCATGGTAACCGCTGCCACTATTCCGATCAGATACAGATTAGATACAGATCAACAGAGTTGGAAGGGACCTTGTAGGTCATCTAGTCCAACCCCCCGCCCAAGCAGATGATCTTCCTTTCCAATCTCCTTTCTGAGTCGTTGTTCAAAGCGATTCATCTCTCACCGAAAACAACCGTGTGGCAAAAACAAAGGCAACGAAGGCAGTCCACCACTTTAGTGACCGCTCAAAGTTACAACGGCACTTGAAAAAAGGAACTTGTGACCGTTTTTCACACTTACGACCGCTGCAGCTTCCCCATGGTCACTTGGATCAGAATTCGGATGCCTGGCCACTGGCTCGTCTTTATGACGGTTGCGACGTCCCAGTGTCCTGTGATCCCCTTTTGACAAGCAAAGTCAACGGGGAAGCCAGATTCACTTAACGGCCCTGCTACCTTAACTTCACAACTGCGATGATTCACTTAACAACGGGGGCAAGAAAGGTTATAAAACGGGACAAAAACACACTTTAACAAATGTCTTGCTTAGCAACATAAATGTTGGGCTCAGTTGTGGGTGTAATTCAAGAACTACCTGCATTCCACAAAGATGATCTCCTTTATCCAAGCCAACAAATAGAATTCATCTATATTTGAGGTTAAATGGCAGAAAAGAGGTTCCATAAACTGAACAATGCCACACTCCAAAAATTTCCCTTTACTGGGCCATTCCAACCGAGTTCTTGGACGAGCTAAAATCTGCAGTAATATATGATCCTTTATGCCAAGGTCTAAGGCTGGGTGGGGGAGATGGGGGGTGGTATTTCCTATCTGTCAACCCCCAGTGCCCTTCCCAAACCAGCCGAGGCGTGATGATTTTCCTGGGAGAGATGGGGAAACGACCTTACAACACCCGGACTGCCATTGTGAGATTTTGCCGTTTATAAAATCCTCTTATTTTTAAAAGACTTACAGGATAAACCCAAATTTAGTTCTTATTCTGGTCGTTGCTTCACGCTTTTTTTTTTAAAGATTATAGCTGCTGGCTTGGAAATAGTGGCTCGTTCTTGTTCAGGGGAAAAAAAAAAACAACCCACAAACCCATAGAGCCTTTTAGAGATAATCACCGACACTTTAAAGCTGGCTGCAAACCGGAGTCAATTTCATTCCTCTTTTGAATTCTGTAGAGCATCAGGCTGGTTATCGCTAGAAGGGAAGTGAGACTGAGATAGCATGACAAATCTTTTGCTCTTACCGAGGGGTGTTTTTTTTTCTTTTGGGTGGAGGGGGGGAGAGAGAGAGAGAGAGGGGGGGGGGGAGGGAGAGAGAGAGAGAGAGAGAGAGGTCAATGTTAAGCTCTCCAGCAACTCTGGCTCACAATACGATCAATAGGCGGGTGAGCCCCCAGCAACTAACCCAGATCCGAGATAGCTTTCAACCACCTTGGCTTGGAAGTTTTTAAGAAGACGCCGCCGTTCGCATCCTACCAACACGACTCGGGAGTGCGCCAAACTCATCCCTTGCAGCCGAGAGGTTGGTGAGCCAAGGTAACCATAGCAACTCACAGGGAGGCAGGCAAAAAAATAATAATAATTGTAAAGTGGATATGATGATAAAGGAGCTCAGCAGAAAACAAGGGGGGGGGGGGGGGGGGAGCTGCGTGGGAAGAGCTGCTGAGGCAGCAAATGCAGAGGTGATGGGGAAGAGCTTGTCTAGGGCAGGAGTTGGAAGCAGGCAGCTCGCAAGGCAAAAACCTTTGCAAGGAGAAAAAGGGAGGAGGGTCGAGCTATTCCCCAAAGCAACCTGAGGGCAGGACAAGAAGTAACGGGCGGAAGCTGATCCAAGGGAGACCCAACCTAGAATTAAGGAGAAAGTTCGTGTCAATGAGAACAAGGGGCTGCCCCAAAGAGGAGGGAGTCAAGCTATTCTCCAAAGCACCTGAGGGCAGGACAAGAAGCAACGGGTGGAAACTCATCAAGGAGAGAAGCAACCTGGGATTAAGGAGAAATATCCCGGCAGTGAGAACAATTCATCAGTGGAACAGCTTGCCTCCAGAAATCATGGATCATTGGAGGTTTTCAAGAAGAGATTGGACAACAATTTGTCTGAAATGGTATCGGCATCGCCTGCCAGAGCCAATGGGTTGGACTAGAAGATCTCCAGGGCCCGTTCCAACTCTGTTATTATTCTCATTCATGACACGAAGTTTGAGGATGGGCTGCTTTCCTCTCTCTCTCTCTCTCCTTCTCTTCCTTCTCCCCATCCCTTAAAAACACTGGATGTTTTTAAGAAGAGATTGGACACAGCCACTTGTCTGGAATGGTATTGAGTCTCCTGCTTGGACTAGAAGACCTCCAAAGTCCCTCCCAACTCTTATTATTCTGTATTCTGACTCAAGGACAGGTAGTCCTTGATTTACAACAGGGATGGAATTCAGCCGGTTCGCACCGGTTCGGGCAAACCAGCTGTTAACTTGTTGCGCAGTTTGGAGACCGGCTAATCCCACCACTGGCTGGCTCCACCCCACCTCGCCCTGCCCCTCCCAGGAATCCCAGCCATTCCTTATCTCGCCTCGCCCACCTTGGCTGCAGCATAGCTGCTGCTGCTGCTCTCTGGCTCCCTTGCTCGCTAGCTCACTTGCCGCGACCACATGGCCTGCGGGGCCACCTTTTTGCCAGCCCAAACGGCCTGACACCACCACCACCTCTTTGCCGGCTCGAACCGCCACCGTCTCCTTGCCGGCCTGAACCAATAATTGAAGTGTTAAAGTGTCCCATGGCAAGTTGGCCGTGGCAAGTTGGCTGCGGTGAGTTGTCCCATTCCACCTACAGGGAGGCTTACTGCTTCTATCTCAATAATTATAATTATTCGGATTTTCTAGGCAAATATGCCTGCATGGTCACTATCTCTCAGAGCACGTGACCTAGCAACATTCCTCCAACTATTCTAACTCTGCTTCAGGTTGGCTCCAGTTGAAACTGCAAGGCCATCCAACACTTCCAGTGAAACAAATTTGTAAAAATATCCTTCGCTGCATCCTTCTTCTAGACGGTCCAACAAATGCATCCATAAATCTCTCTAAAGCACAAAATCTTGGCAACCCAAGCCTTCGCCGCTCCAAATGTGGAATGTTTGCTTTCCTGGTTTCAGAGAAAGCCAACTGTTGCTGCTTCTCTCCTTTTAGCTTTGCTTTGTTGCGCTAAAAATGTCAGGAAATAAAAAAAAAAAAATACGAACGTTTCCATTTTGTGCCCGCATTTGAATTTTCTAAGTCAGTGGGACTCATGCTTCACCTTTCAAAGAAGCCAAGAGAACTGCAGGAACAAGGAGAGAGATGACAGCATCAGAGGTGCAAAGGAAAGGTCCTGGCACATATTCAACAACCTGACACTTGTGTGAATTGGTCTTACACTGACAGCCAGGTGCCTTTGATTTCCCTCAGCAAGGAACAAGGGAAAATTAAAACATGTAAATATGTAGTTTTCCATTTTCTTTGCAGATCACCATTTTAAAATTGCTGGAATACTGCATCCAGTTTTGGTCTCCACAATGTAAAAAAAAGATGTGGAGACTCTAGAAAGAGTGCCGAGAAGATCAACCAAGAGGATTAGGGGACTGGAGGCTAAAACATATGAAGAACGGTTGCAGGAACTGGGTATGTCTAGTTTGATGAAGAGAAGGACTAGGGGAGACATGATAGCAGTCTTCCAATATCCCAGGGGCCGCCCCAAAGAAGAGGGAGTCAAGCTATTCTCCAAAGCACCTGAGGGCAGGACAAGAAGCAACGGGTGGAAACTAATCAAGGAGAGAACTAACCTAGAAGGAGAAATTTCCTGATAGTTAGAACAAGCAGAACGACTCGCCTCCAGAAGTTGTGGATGCTCCAACACTGGAGGTTTTTAAGAAGAGATTGGACAACCATTTGTGTGAAATGGCCTAGGGTCTCCTGCCTGAGCAGGGGGTTGGACTAGAGGACCTCCAAGGTCCCTTCCAACTCTGTTATTCTGTTAAAATTATACTTCTTTTAAAAGGAGAGAAAATATTATATCTGGCTGCTTTAAAAGTGGCAAAGATCGGGGATTGGCGTTGCCGTCCAACATTTCTGCAAAGTTCCAGTTGGTAAGGCTGATTTATATGTGGTTGCTTTTACCTAAGGCCGAGGTTAATCAGAGATGCGTAATCAATTCTCTAACCAGAGGGGTCTTAGCTGCATCACACAGGACATAATCCAGATACAGTATCCGAAGGTTAGAGGCATATTTCTTCCCCTAAGCACGCGGAGCAGGTAGCTTTGAAATCTCCGTATTCCCAAACCACTGTTATTGTCTCCGTGCTTAATGTTCTTCTTAGCTCACTTTTTTTTTCTCTTTTCAAACAGCCACAGGAATCAACTCTAAATCAAACAATAAACCTGTATGGCTTACAGTTATTTACAGTCAACTGGGTTTAATAAAACCCGTCATAAACAATTCTGATGCTTGCAACAAAGCTGTAATTTATCTCGCTATCCTGTATTAACAGTCCCCGTACACCAGAAAGGCAAAAAGTGTGATTGAAATGGCAAAGAGAGAGAGGGGGAGGGAAGGAGGGAGGGAGAGAGAGAGAAGGAGAGAGGGAGAGAGAAAGAGAGAGAGACCATTTAAGCAAACAAAGAGAAGGAAGATATTTTCTGACTCTGCAGCTCCCCTTAGTGGAAAACAAGCAGGATGGCAAAGTTTTT